ATCTTCATGCGCCTCGCTGCCCCATTCTCCTCAACTGGGGGAGTTGCGGCCACAGATGCAACCTGTGCCAGGCAGCAATAGCTTTACCAGCAGCACAGCAGTGGTAGCACGCACCCCACAACCCCCCCCACACCTCTTTCACAATGCTACTCCCCCCTTCCGGCCCACGGCCCATGTGAAAACACAGCTGTTGATTTTGGGTTCGTCAGTCTGGAGGAGTATCCCACAGGCCTGGTGCATCTGGGGGGCAGTACCTGGAGCAGGTGGCATCTATGCTCGGCCTTTCCCTGTCGTTTCAAGGCATGGAAACCACCCCACACGACTTCCACACCCGTCGCAAGTGGAGGTGGATGAAGGGAGAGGTGATAGTGCTGGCCAATTGGGGCCTCATGGTCTTTCCAGACGACACAGTGCTTCGCTCCAATCCCCGTAACGCAATTCTCAAGTGGATTCGCGACCTGCGCCCGCTGCTGCTCCTCCAGGTAGACGCTGATCTAGATGCCAACGGGCCCTTCTTCCTCGCGCGCTTCCACGCCGCGTTCGCCAACTTTGCGGCGCTCATCGAGTCCTTTGATGCCTCTATGCCGCACGCCGCCACGCAGCGCTTCGTAGCAGAGTCCATCCTCGCGCGGGACTTTATAAACGAGGTGGCATGCGAGGGCATGAACAGATGGCTGCGGGCGGAGCGGCTCGAGATGTGGGTGCATCGGATGAAAGCAGTGGGGCTGGAACCCGTACTCTTGTAGTGCCGGACACAGTGGTGGCTGGAGGGAAGGCCACGGAGTGGGAGGGACAAGAGGTTCCGGGCTGGAAGTGCATGGTGAGAAGCGGCGCCCCTGCAGCTCAGCTGGCGCGGCGTGCCCTTGATCTTCGGTGGCCAGCCTGGCGAATGAGCCTGGAGTCGGGCTCACAAGCTGCAGCGCCGCGATGATTGTTGTGGCCGCCTGGCCCCAATGATCGTTCTCACCCGCAACTTGGCAGTGCAATGGCAAGGGCGGGCATAGCCAAGCTCAGGAAGACAGGTCTTATCAAAGCAGGGTAGGTTCAGGCCAGTTCATGTCCCTGTTAACCTCCACACCCCTGCATGTCAACCTTCTTGCCCTATTTTTGCACATGTTTCTTTTGCTTAACGTTTTGCATTTGCTTGTGCGTGTCCATCGTGCCTCCATTGCTCCCTTTCCTTTTTCTTTGTAGGAACCTCCACTTGAGTGTGCTAAGACTAATCTTGCACGTATGCCATCGTAACTGTTGCTGCAGGTTTCATAGTCTGTGCTGCATGCAAGCCATCCCATGTCGAGCTGTATGATAAGCACGCAGCGATCCATCCCTCCAGCGACCTTGGAAAACTCTTTAATGATGTCCTGGAACGACGTTGACCAAACATTCGACGCCGTCCCACGAATGTCAAATGGACAAGCATTTTTTTGAAGTGCTAACACCTGGTCTAGGAAGGAGGAATTGAAGTGGAGAGAGACTGATGATTTCCTACATTTGCTGCTTCATCAGGAATGGTGTACCGTAACGTGCGTAACGAAGAAGCGTCCTTGATGGCGAATTGACACAAGGGATTCGACACCTCGGGAACTCACACCTCCAGAATTCACACCTCGGGAATTCACAAGTCGGCAATTCACACCTCGGGAACTCACACCTCGGGAATTCACTTCGTACGAGACGCAACATAAACTGCAGCTTTTCTGGACCCAATTCCTCTTCTCCACTCCATCCGCAGCTTTTTTTGGCAGGGCTTCCTCGCTCCACGACTGATCACGTAGACGTAGCTTGGTTCTTTGACCTGGCGATCTTCCAAGATCCGACCACAATCACAGTTTCCGTCACGTAGACATGAGCGGCGAGCCAGTCCCGGTCTTCGTCGCTGATGACCTGGCGCCAGCGGACGTTGAGCATTGGTTGTCGTTCGACGAAGCCGTTCTGCCTCCTTCGCCTTCCACTGACAACCCTCTCTTGCAGACACAAGATCTCCCGGAGTTGCCGTTTACTACATTAGATCCGTCACTCGCTTTCCTGATAGGCGATGATGCTCCTACAGGTGATGTGTACATAAGAGACAATAACACAGACTATGTTCCCATACGCGACGCTCCCGTTAACCAAGTCGAGTTAGTCCAGAATGGCGATTGGATGAGTTACCTGGCGAGGAATCGGAGAAAGGGACTCCACTTGATTTCGATGGCGGAGTTCCCGAACGACGAACAGACGCAGGCGAGGCGTGTACGAAGGGATCCGGTGAAGCAGGTGCGATTACATCAGTCTTCGCGGATTTTATCGATACGCGGGACTCAAGCGGAGTTAGCCATAGCCGTGACTCTACCACGCCCGAAGACGGCCGAGTAGAAAGGGTTGAGTTGTTACAATCGGGGACGTGGTATGTTCCGGGGGCGGGAAACGTTTTTGCGGTCAGCAATTTGGCAGCCAGCAATCTCGCGGCCAACAATCTTGCAGCCAGTGATCTAGACACGTGCCTGCCAGAGCAGGCTGGTCCGTCCACGTGGCTTCCTAATTTACCTCGGGATGCGGAGGGGGGATCAGAACAAGGTTTCCCTGCCACATCAGCATCCGATCTGCGTGCATTGCAGCCTGACTGTTCCGGTCCGCACGTGTTGACCTTCGAAGATGCTTCGGAGAGGCTGTTCACAGCGACAGCGCCAGCGACTTTTCAGGGCGCGACGGGCAGCTGGGAGCAAGCGCAGAGGGCGCAGCTGTTGTTGCCAGAGCAGGAGGAAGCGCAGAATCAGCTGTTGACGCCTCAGCAGCAGACGCAGCAACAGCCCCAGCACCAAGGGCGAAATTACGATCCAGGAGGACAGCAGCAGCAGCAGCAGCAGCAGCAGGAAGCCCTCCAGTTAAACATACCCGCCAGCACACGCCCTCTCCCCTCCGCCATCCATGCCCGTCCCTCTTCCCCCCAACACTCCCCCCCCGCCCAGCGCCCCTCGCCCTCCCTCGGCCGTGACATAGGGGTGGGAGGGCTCAGGGGGCCTTCCGCCGAACCTCCCTCCGCTCCGCCCCCGTGCAAGCTGCCTCGGCGCCCACCGGACCTCTCCTCCCGTCTCGCCGCCGTGCTGCAAAACATCAACCCGCCTCACTCTGCGCCCTCCCCGTGGCAACCCGTTCCCCACTCGACCGAGCCGGGCCTTCCTTCCCCTGCCACGCCCGCAGCTCCCGCTGTCACTGCGTCTACCACTGCAGCTCGGCCGTTCCCCATGCCAGGATCATCCTCAGCAGTAGCTGCACCTGCAACAGCACCATCAACAACAACAGCAGCAGCAGCAACAGCAGCAGCAGTGGCAGCAGCAGCAGTAGCGGTAGCAGTAGCTTCCGCGGTGTCTTGTATAAAGGCGCCTGAGAGCAGTCTCGTGGTTGGAGGCAGTCGGGGAGACGCGAGTGGTTTCATGGGCTCAACACTGCCCTCCTCTGCTGCTCGCACCAGCAACGCTGGTGCTTATAGATGTGCCCAGGGAGTGCGGCTAGCATCCTTTTCGAGCAACAATGCACTCAGGAGAATTCGCCTCAGTGAGGCACGCATTAACCCACGGAGCCTTGCCCCTGGGAGTGCAGCGCAGAGCGTAGCAAGCAGGGCGTCCCTCCCCGTTCCCCACGTTGCTCCATTCGGCCCCGAGAGGCCCCTGCGAGTGGATGTGTCAGGCATGCTGCCACGGCCCATGTGTGGCGCGAGGGAGGGCATGCTGAAGCAGCAGCTCATGGCTCTCGCTGAAGCCATGGCCGTTGGTGACTCGGTGCGTTGGGTGGGGCTCGTGTCAAGTGGGGCTCGTGTCAAGTGGCATGGCTTGTGCTCGTTGGCTCCTGCTGATGCATTGTTGAGCAAGAGCTGCAGCACACTACTCACAGTGTTGTTCTCTGCGTTACTTCTCCCTTCCGCCCCCACCAGGTGCGGTGGCGGCAGTTCATGCGGCAGGTGCGGAGGGAGGCGGCAGCGGGGGGGGATACATTGCAGCGCATCGCCTTCCATGCCGTGGAGGCGCTGCAGGCGCGCATGGATGGCACCGCGCTCACCCGCTGGTGCACCCCCTTGAATATCACCCTTCAGGTACGTACCTTCCCCGTTCCCCACCTTCCGCACTCCCCGCCCTCCCCCCTCCCCACGTTCGCCCCTTCCGCACACACAGAAACACACAACACGTGCTCAGTGTATTTTTCTTCAGGCACGTTCCGTTTCCAGTCCGGCACTGTATGTGCTAAGCTCACTGTATTCCGTGCTTGCCACGTGTCCCAGGCATCCCATTCGTGCCTGCATCCCATTCATCTCATGCACCCCATGCATGCCACGTGTCCCATGTGAGCAGGATTCAATGGCAGTGTTGGGCCATGGCAACGAGCATGGAGTGCCGGCATTCATGCACCTCGCCAACATTGCAGAAATGCACGAAATTGTTCGTGCATTCACCCACCAACCACATGCACACCCACACCAGCATGCACAGGCACACGCACAGAGCCGGCCCACCCACAGACATGCTCCCCAGTCCCCTGCCAGCCACCCACACTCTCCACACGCCCCTTCTCCTCCCCCCCAGCCGGCCTCTTTCCCTGCCTCTGCCTCAGCCTCAACCTTTGCAAGCCAGTCGGTGCGGCGGCGGCGGCTGCACATCATAGCCATTGGACTCTACTGCGGGCCGCACTGGATCCAAATTTTCATGCGCCTTGCTGCCCACTTCTCCTCCCCGCCTCTCCTCCCGGCCGCCGCCACCACAGCCAATGGGCATCCACCAAGTGGCATCCCAGGTGGGGGACCAGGGGCAGTACCGAATGCAGCTGGTGGGGGCGTGAGCGGTGTTCAGGGCAGAACAGGGGCGTTTGGGGCAGGTATACCTGGGGGAGGTGCGGCCGCAGATGCACCTGTGACAGGCAGCAAGAGCTTTACCAGCAGCGGCAGCACAAGCGGCAGCAGTGGGAGCACGCACCCCACCACTCTTCCTACACCTCCCCCGCCCCGCTCCACAGCGCATGTGAAAATCACAGCCGTTGATTTCGGGATCATCAAAGTGGAGGAGCATCCAACGGGCCTGGTGCATCTGGGGGGGCAGTATCTGGAGAAAGTGGCATCTATGCTCGGCCTCTCCCTGTCGTTCCATGGCATAGAAACCAACCCACTTGACTTCCACCCGTCGCAAGTGGAGGTGGATGAAGGGGAGGAGGTGGTAGTGCTGGCCAATTGGGGCCTCATGGTCTTTCCAGACGACTCTGTCCTTCGCTCCAATCCCCGCAATGCCATCCTCAAGTGGATCCGCGACCTGCGCCCTCTGCTCCTCCTCCAGGTCGACATTGATTTGGATGCCAACGGCCCTTTCTTCCTCTCGCGCTTCCACGCCGCCTTTGCCAACTTTGCCGCGTTCATCGAGTCCTTTGATGCTTCCATGCCGCACTCTGCCTCGTCACGCTTTGCAGCGGAAACCATTCTGGCGCGGGATTTGATGAACGGGGTCGCATGTGAGGGCATGAACAGGTGGCTTCGGTCAGAGCGGCTCGAGAAATGGGTGCATCGGATGAGAACAGTGGGGCTGGAACCCGTACCTTTAGGGCCGGACACAGTGGCGGCTGGGAGGGAGATTACAGAGGGGAGAGACAAGAGGTTCCGGTTAGAAGTGCATGGTGAGACGGGCGCCCTGCAGCTCAGCTGGCGCGGCGTCCCGATGATCTTCGTCGCCGCCTGGAGATGAGGTTTGAGATGATCGTAAGAGCTGTGGCGTCTGGATAATCTTTATGGCCACCTGGCGATGAGCTTTGAGGCAGCCTCAAGAGTTGTGGCGTTCCGATGATCTTTGTGGCCACTTCGAGACGAGCCCGGGATTGATTCCAATGTCGCTCTAATCGGCAGTTTGGCGGGGCAAGTGCGAAGACACCATAGCAAAGAAGACTGTTCTAATAAAGCCAGGGTATGTTTCAGGTGTGTGATGTCCCTGTTGAAGCTGTGCATTTCACCCATCTTGCCCTGTGTTGCATATGTTTCTTGTGTTAAATGCTTTGCATTCGCTTCTGCCTATCCATCTTTCCTCCTTCCTGACTTTTTTTTTTCTGGAAACCCCTACTTGCTTACGCCCTTCTATTTGTTGCTGCAGGTTTCCATCATCTTTGTCATCATCCCACGACAGAGTCGTACGACAAGTAAATCATTTGCCATCCTGCCAGCAATCTCTCATTCAGGTTGACCAAACATGCGATGCACTCCCTCCCAACCCAGCTATGACAAATTTGGTCTGACATGCTGGACAACCATTTGTGTGTAGTGCAAAATCCTGGTCGAGGTCTAAGTGATAAGAAAAATAAAATATTTCCTGAGCTTGAAGCATTTTCAGGTTTATTATCTCCTATCTCCACACAGGTATTGGTTGAAAGGGGAATGTATCACCAAATGATACATTATGACACAAACTATGTGCCAAACGAAGAAAATGTTTTTGCGGGGTACTGACACCAACTTCGTTTGACCCGCCAGCGTTTCGGCGAGAATGCTTGGACCTCCCCTCGCGCACGTTACAGACTTCGCGAACGTCACATCATACCTTGATCACCCAACGAACCCCACCATTGTGGGAGATCTGGTTCTCTGGTGTATCTCGGATGTTACAGCTGTTCGGGTACGGTAACGCTGGGTCCCAGTCGGTTTCACGAACTAATCACAACCATTCCCTCAATCATCTTCCCTCCCCTCGCCTTTCAGTTTTCACCCATCATGGCGCCCAAAGCTGATCATGATGATGACGGTGAGGTGAGAGATGAGGGGATCAGAATCTACACATTCCTAAACTGAGCAGTTTTTACCTGTTCTTCCCTAGCGTGCCAACCGAGCTTCTTCCGTTACTCACGACGCTCCGCTGACATCATCGCTTATTGATCCGTCCGTTAGGACCAACGGAGCTGATTAACCTTTTAGACCTGTGTCGTTGCTCGTAACCGCCTCATCCGATCTCAGGCGACGCATTCCGTCGTTCTTCTGCTGGTCCTGATATAACCGCGGATCGTTAACTCTGCCGACGATCGCGTTCCGTGAATATTTCGTTCAGAGGATCAGAGCCTAGATTCGACTCTTGGAGTCGCCACTCAGCACGGATGGGTCGAAAGAAGAACCAGAAGGGCCGTCAACAGACCACCGCTGCTGCTGTAGCGGTGGCTCCTAACCCAACCGTCAGCTCCGCAGCTCCCCCCGCGCCTTCCGCCAGCGATCCTCCCGCCAAGGCCACCGCAGCGGATCCGCCATCCGCGCTACCGGCCGCAGGCGCGCCGTCCGGGGAAGATCTCCCGACGATCAACGTGACCTCGCCTTTCCGCGCCACCGCGAGTCGCGACTCGAGCGACTCTCACGACGCCGACGTCTTCGTCGAGCCGCCGGAGCACTTCAGCGACGGCTCGCGAACTCCGCACGATGGTAACCGCACTCCCACCTTCGAGGACGCTTCCGGCAGATTCCCTCTCGAGTCACCGATGGCGAACGGTAGCAGCGGCGGAAGCGGCGGGTTCGGCGCGCAAGTGGAGGCGGAGAAGCTGCGGAAGCAGCTGGAGGAGATGGCGCAGCGCTGCCGGGAGTTGGAGGAGGGGAAGCGCGGATCGGAGGTCGCGCGGAAGAGCGTTCAGCAGGCGAAGAACGCGCTAGAAAAGGACCTGGCGGCGGCCGCGGAGAAGACGTCGAAGGCGGAAGAGGCGGAGGCTGCGGGGAAGGCGGAACGCGCGCGCCTGGAGGGGCTGGTGACGGCGGCGGAGGGGGAAGTCGCGCGGCTGAAGGGGGAAGTAGCGGGGAAAGAAGCGGAGGTGGGGAAGTTGCTGGGAGAGATGGATCTATCGAAGAAAGAGGCAGAGGCGTTGAGAGGCGAGATGAGTGAACAGGTCAGGGCTCATGAGGAGTTGGTGCGGGCGCTGAAGCAAGAGTCGGAGGCCCTGGTGGCAGCGCGAGACGCGGCGATCAAGGAATGCGCGGAGGCCAAGGAGAAATGCGCCGACCTGTTGAAGTGAGCGCGAGCTAGGGGTTAATTGACGGATCTCTGCAGATGATCGCGGGGTTCAGGGGTTTGCCATGTCACGCGCAACATCGTTTCAACCTGTAAGGTGCCTGCTTCTTGTTTTGCGCAATCGTCACGCGTTCCTCTCTCGTGCTTCTCCCTCTTCCCCTCTTTCCCCCGCTTTCACCTCCTCCCGCCTTTCTCCAGGGTTTCAGCTGAGGCGGCGGCCAGAATGGACGAGCTTTCCCGCTCCTTGCAGGCGTTGGAGCAAGACAAGCAGGGCTGGGCGGCAGACAGCGAAAAATGGGCGGCAGAGAAGTGCAGCTGGGAGGAGGAACGGGCAAGCTGGGCGGCAGAGAAGCGGAGCTGGGCGGCAGAGCGGGAGACGTGGGCGGCAGAGAAGGCATCTAAGGAAAAGGCGATTGGTGAATGGGACGAAGGGCGGAGAGAGCTGGAGCAGCGGTTGGAGGCACTCGGTGCTCAGCTGGCCGCGGCTGAGGCTGCAAGAATGGAGGCAGAAGTGGCGAGAGGAACGGCAGAAGCGGCAAAAGCAGAGGCGGAAAGGGCGAGAGCGGCGGCAGAAGCGGCAAGGGCGGATGTAGAGAAGACGCTGGAGGGGAAGAGGGGCGAGTCGGACCAGGCCACCAGGTAGGGCGAGCCGGACCAGGCCACCAGGTAGGGCGAGCCGGACCAGGCCACCAGGTAGGGCGAGCCGGACCAGGCCACCAGGTACGGCTGTCGTATTCTTGCTGTGCTGCTGTGCAGTGCGGTGTGTGCAACCTGCTGTCCCATTGCGTGCGTGTGCATTGCCTGACCCATCTCTCTTCTCCCCCCCCCATACACCCCCCTTATTGTTCCCTCTTTGAGCGTCAGAGTCGCAGCCATGGCAGCGGCCCGCCTGGCGGAGGTGCAGCAGAGCCGCACCTCGCCCTCGTGTGCCCCCCCCCAAACTTCTCCGTATCATCTGCTGAAACGCACCCCTTTTCTGCCCTACTCCCCACCTGCTCTCCCCCCGCCCCTCCCCACCTCCCAATGTGTCTGTGTGCCTCTCCGCTTGTGCCTCAGTGTGGCAGCCAAGGCAGCGGCCCACCTGGCGGAGGTGCAGCAGAGTGTCACCGTCGTGTGCACCCCCCTCCCTCATTGCATTGCCCTGTCTTCCTGCTGCCGTCCCCGTCTCCCTGTGTTTGTGCGCTCTCAGGGTGGCGGCCAAGGCAGCAGCGCACCTGGCGGAGCTGCAGCAGAGCCTCACGCAGACGCAGGTGGAGCTGGTGCAGGCGCACTCCGCGCTACAAGACAAGGACGCCCAGTTGACGGGCAAGGACGAGCAGGTGCAGGCTCTGACAGACCAGATAAAGGCGCTGGAACAGCGCGTGAAGGGTGCGGAAGAGGAGAAGAATACACACGCGGAGGAGGCGAGGAGGAAGGAGGAGGAGGCAAGGGAGGCGAGGCGAGAGGTTGAAGCTGTGAAAGGGGAGCTGCAGGGGGGGTTGAAGGCTGCAGCGCAGCAGCTTGCCCAGGCGAAGAAGGAGGCGGGTGCGGGTGGGGAGAGTGGGGAGAGTGCAGGGAGCAGGGTGGGGGAGCTGGAGGCGAGGGTGGAGGCTCTGCTGGGGGAGGTGGCATCTGCGGTGCAGGCGCGGGCGGAGGTGGAGGGGAAGCTGGCGAGTGGCAGCCGGGAGAACGCCAGGCTGGCAGAGTGAGTGGGCTGCTCTGTGTGCTGTGCGCTGTGCGCTGCTCTGTGTGCTTTACTGTTAAGCTGCCTAGCAAGATATTTTTTTTCGTAACGTGCCACCCTTTCTCTCCCACACCCTACCCATTCCACCACCCACCACCCAAATCTCTGCTGCCGTACCAACCCCCTCTGTCCCTTCCTCTCCCACACCTACCCGTTCCACCAAACACCACCCCACGCAGGTTGGCGGCAACCAAGGAAGCAGAGGCCAAGACCATGTTTCTCCAGCTGGGGCAGGTGAAGCGGGATAACGCCTCCCTCATACCTCCTCTTATCACCTTCCCAATGCCCCACTTCCCTCACAGGCTGGCAGCAACCAAGGAGGCAGAGGCAAAGAGGGGCAGGTGAAGCAGGATAACGCCCCACTCGCCCTTCCTCTCAACCCACTCCCACCTCCCTTCTTCCCTTCCCCCCACCACCCCCTCACAGGCTGGCGGCAACCAAGGAAGCAGAGGCCAAGACCATGTTTCTCCAGCTGGGGCAGGTGAAGCGGGATAACGCCTCCCTCAGTAGCGACCTGGCAGCCGCTACAGACAAGATCCAGGAGCTAGTGGCCAAGAACCGGCGCATGGACAAGGACGTGGTAACCGCCGCGGCCGAGGCGGCGTTACGCGAGCAGGAGGGGGGAGGTGGGATTGGGGGAGGGTGGAGCTCTGTGACCCTGGTGACTGTGGGTGTGGGGGCGGCGGCTGTGGGGGGGTTTGCCGTACTACGACTCATGGGACCTCGTCCATGAGTCTGGGGAGAGTGTGAGAGGAGGGAGGTTGGGGAGGTGGGGGAGGTGGGAGTGGGGGAGGGTGGAGCTCTGTGACGCTGGTGACAGTGGGTGTGGGGGCGGCGGCTGTTGGGGGTTTTGCTGCCTTGCGACTCATGGGACCGCGTGTGTGGGAATCGGAAGTGCATGAGAGGGGGAAGGTGAGGGAGGTGGGGAACGTAGGGGAGGTGGGAATGGGGGAGGGTGGAGCTCTGTGGCAGTGGTGTCGATGGGTGTGGGGGCTGCGGCTGTGATGTGTTTGCTGCCTTGCGACTCATGGGACCTTGTGCGTGAGAGGGGAAGGATGGGTGGGAGAGTTAAGGTGCGTGAGAGGGAGCGTGTGAGAAGGGGGGGGTGAGTGAGAGGTAGAAGGTGAGAGTGGGAGGGGTGTGACTGACTGAACACTTGCTTCAGATGCGCATGAGAGCTGAGCCGTTCATTCTTCAATCTTTTTACCATACTACACAGAGGGGTTAGGACTAATGTCATCTGGTGCATGATTTTGTCAGTTTTGCCAGTGTCATTTCTTGATATTCCTTCGCCTGATTTTGCATGTTTTAACTAATCCATTCTTCTGAGTGAGACTTCTTAATGCCTTCCACTGTACGATTCATTCATTGTATAACACCCTGCTTCGACTTATCCCGTCTTATTCAGCAACACAATGTGATGTGCAGTGCATTACAACGTTAGCAGGCACCTGCAGCAGAAAAGCTACACCATCATCTACACTGTACAACTTACTCACCAAGTATACTACTTTACCTACACCTCTATAGCGACGCACTTGGTAACGGTCCAGTAATTCTCTGCCACGGGGCGGTAACCCTTGGCACAGGCACAGCGGTAACCCAGAGGGGAGAGGAAGTTGGGTTGGCAGATGCTGCTGGGAGGACACTTGGGGTTGGCTGGACACGGCTTGCGCACCAGCTTATTTGTCACTGTGTGTGTGGGGGGGGGTGTTGGGGTGGATGGTTTGGGACGAGAAAAGCGAGGAGATTGGGTGTGAGAAACAGCAGGCTGGATCTGGTAGGTAGACACTTCCTGCTGTTCCAGGGACACTTGGGGTTGGGGGGACAGGGCTTGCTCATGCGAGGTGAATGGGGAAGAGGAAGGGACGCTGTGAGTTGGGAGGCAGAACGGAGAGACAAGACCCCGATGGGGTGGGATTTACAGGGCATTGATGCAGAAAGGGCACTTGGCAGAGGAGACGAGGCCAGCACTTACGATTAATAGTGTGTGGCAGAGGGAACTTTGAAAGGGAACCGTCTTCAAAGGGAACTTCCTCTCGAAAGGGAAACATCCTCTCAAAAGGGGAACTTCCGCTCAAAAGGGGAACTTCCGCTCAAAAGGGAAACTTCCCCTCAATAGGGAAACTTCCTCTCAAAAAGGGGAACTTCGCTCAACACACAATCATCCCCTCCCACCGCTTCCTCAAGAGGGACCTTCCTCCCAAACCTCGCCCCCACACCTTTCACGCAGTACTGGTTGTCGGCCATGGCAGCAGCAGCACCCTTCTGGCACTGGCACTCAGCATCCACCACCGCGCTGTCGTTCTTGCGCAGACTGGCCGGCACACACGCCCCTTCAGCACTTACCCATCAACACTCAACCTCCAACGTTCTCCTCACCTTTCACGCAGTATTGGTTGTCAGCCGTGGCAGCAGCACCCTTCTGGCACTGGCATGCAGCATACACCACCGCGCTGTCGTTCTTTCGCAGGCTGGCCGGCACACACGCCCCCCGCCGCCCGCACGTGCCCAGGCGACTCGCCGCCCGGCAGAAGGTCCAGCAGGTGCTTGCGCTGCGCTGGGGCGGCTTCTTTCCACACGCCTTCTTGTCCCACCTGCGGTTAGAGCGGGGGTGAGGGGCGATGGGAGGGGCGATGGGGTAGGATGAGGGAGATGGGGTGGGAGGAGGGGGATGGAAAGCAGGTATGTGGCCTCACAGGCCCCAGCACTGCGCTGAGGTGACTTGTTGCCACACGCCTTCTTGTCCCACCTGGGTGTGGCAGGGTTGTGATGTGATGGGGGAATGCGGCGATGGAGAGTGGAAAGTCGGAAGGCGCAGCAAGAGGTAGCAATGCACGCCGTGCAGCATGACTCCACCAATGAGCTCCCTCATGCGTCTCCAATGAACAGGAGCAGGAACAGAAACAGAAACAGGAACAGGAACAGGATCAGGAACGTGATCAGGATTCAGGAACCCACAGGAACAGGCCTGACACACGCACCACTTGAGGCGAAGGCAGTTGTTATCAACGTCGGACTCGGAAGGGCAGATGGAGGTGCCGTTCCTGGCCTTGTACGACACCTCGCCCACAAAGTAATTCGACGCCAGGCTGTGGTATGGCAGGGCCAGGTAGCGTGGAGGGATGGTGCCGCTGAGGTAGTTGGAGCGCACGTTGCTGTGTGGGTGGGGTGGGATGGGAGAGGATGCGGACGGGTGAAGAGGGATAAAGTGAGTTGGAGACCTCGCCCACGAAGTAGTTGATGACAGGCTGTGGTATGGCAGCACCAGGTAGGGTGGAGGGATGGTGCTGCTGAGATAGTTGGAGCGCACGTTGCTGTGGGTGAAGGGGGGGAGAGATGGATGGGGGAGGCGGTTGGGAGGTACGAGGCGTTTGAGTTGTGGGGAAAGAAGTGCAGTGCATGGTGATTACGTTTCAGTGTTGTTCATTGTGAACAAAGGGGGGGGTACGAGGGTTGTACACATTGCTCATGCATCAATCACATCACTCACACGGGGTGTCCTTTGTTCATTGTGCAGTGCCGATGCATGCACCACTCACATGTCAGCATGACTCACATGTCGGTGAGCAGCTTGAGGCGATCGATGTTGGGGAGAGTCCCGGACAGGTAGTTGCTCTCGAGGTTGCTGTGCCGCCATGCCACACACCACACAACACACACACGAGTTAGCAAGTTATTTCGGATTACCAAATCTGGCAGAGGGAGCAGAGGAAGCAGAGGGAGCAGAGGGAGCAGCGTTGCCACGTGTCTATTTGGCCTCACGGGTAAAATTGTTCCTCACTGCTCGACCCACCGGCGATGTGTTACCATGATGCTGAAACGCTCAGGATGCTCAGAATGATCCGAGACGTCTAACATCCCTGAAATATTCCGCACAAATGTGTTTTTTCTCACATGCTCTTTGCTGCTCTCTCTGGTTAGAGTTTTACTCGTATGCCCTCTCTCATGTGCTCTCTCACATGCTCTCCCCCTCACATGCTCTCCCTCACATGCTCTCTCCCTCACATGCTCTCCCCCTCACATGCTCTCCCCCTCACATGCTCTCCCCCTCACATGCTCTCCCCCTCACATGCTCTCCCCCTCACATGCTCTCCCCCTCACATGCTCTCCCCCTCACATGCTCTCCCCCTCACATGCTCTCCCCCTCACATGCTCTCCCCCTCACATGCTCTCCCCCTCACATGCTCTCCCCCTCACATGCTCTCCCCCTCACATGCTCTCCCCCTCACATGCTCTGGATGTTGGCCAGGCGGGTCAGCTGCTCTGGGATGCTTCCACTCAGCTTGTTGTAGTTCAGCGACCTGCCGTGGTGACGTGGCAATGGGCCGGTGACGTGGCATTGGGATGATGACGTGGCAACGGCCATGTGTGGAAAGGAACGGAAAGAGCCAGGAAAATGCTGGATGATCAATGGAATGCAACAGAAAGCGGTGTGCGTTGCAACGTTATGAAGTCCAGTAAGTGGCACAGCAGAGCAACGTGGGGGATGTAGCATGAAGAGTGGATAGAAAACAATGCAGGAGAAGGAGGGAAGGTAGGGAGGGGGAAGGGATGGAGGCTGACAGGTAGGTGAGTTGGGAGAGGGATGCGAGGGCTGCGGGGATGGACCCTGTCAGCCAGTTGTAGCGCAGGCCCCTGCATGGGGGGGAGGGGGGTAGGGGGTAAGGGGGTACAGGGAGGAGGATTTGAGTGTGAGATTGGCATGGCTCAACGACTGGGGGAGCTGTGAATGTTGATAGTCTCTCGTTGGGTGGCGGATGTGTGTGTTTGACCCGTGGACCCCAGGTTGACCACGTTGATTCACAGGAACTGCAGGTTGACTCGCATTGACTGCATTGACTCGCAGATACTGCAGGTTGACTGGCGTTGACTCACAGGAACTGCAGGCTCTTGAGACGCGAGAGCTCCTTGGGAATTTTCCCCGAGAACATGTTGTTGCTCAGCCGGCTGGCACACATGGGAAAGGATTCATGGGAAGAGAGGGGGAGAGCTGGGGTAACGGAGTGAGAGGCCCGTGTGGAAAATATAATACTTTCTATCTCTCATGCATACAGGGGAAGGGAACAGCAGGTAGATTGGTGGGCATTCCGGTGCAAATGATGAGTGAATTGTGACTCGAATGACTGCCTGAATGCAGCATTCGGAAGGGAGGGCGAGGTGCAGAGGACAGGGAACCAGGGGACTCTCACAGGTAGGAGAGGGAGAGGAAGCTTCCGATGTATGCAGGGATGCTGCCCCCAAAGGCATTGTCGTTCATGTACCTGCAACAGAATGGGGACGGGACAGGAGTGGTAGAGTTGGCAGTGGGAGAAAATAAGGGGACTAAAAATTTGAGACTTGACTAGTTAGGGTTTGAAACTCCTAATATGATGGAATGTAGTGAAGAATCAGCGGCATCGTTACAGTCACATCCGCACAGCCACTCTTAATGTGACTGTCTCAGTCACACCCATGCGTTCCCACGCACACTCACATTGTCACACCGACAAACTCACACTCTAAGTCATAGTCAAAGTTTCCTCTCTCACACCAAGAAGGAGAAACTCACAGTTCCCGAAGGTTGGTGAGAGAGGAGAAGGAGGGGGGCAGTTTGCCACCCAGAGCATCTCCACCGTGCGACAACACTCTGCCGTGATTGGTGGACAGGGAAGGGGAAGGGGGGAAGGGGGGAAGGGAGGGAGGGAGGACATGGAGAGTGGTAGCAGCCCTAGGGAAACCCAAAAACGTTCCTGCTTTGAGTTTGGACCCTTGGGTTGACTGACTTAGGTTGACTTGGGTTAACTCGGGTTCACCTTGGTTGACCTGGGTTGACCTGGGTAACGACTTGGTTGACTTTGGTTGACTTGGTTTGACTCACAGCTTCTTGAGGTTCTTCAGGTTGCCAAAGCCTGGTGGGAGAGATCCGCTAAAGTCGTTGAACCCAAGGTCCCTGTAACGAGGATGGGGAGGCACGGAAAATAGAGGCGGTTGAGAGGGGTTGGGGATATTATACACGAACCAGTGAGCAAGGCAAGGCAGGGTAGGGCAAGGTAAGGACGAAGGGCAAGGCAGGTGAGGCAGAGGGGAGGAGGGGAGAGAAGCACAGCAGCAGACCAGGTTAGCAGGAGATTAATCACATCACCCGCTCCCATGCAATGCAACCAGGAGGGGTGAGAGCAGTTGGGCTTACAGGTGGGTAAGGGCGGTTAGGGCGGTGACCAAGGGTGGGATTGGAGTAGAAAGATAGTTCTGATTCAGGTTCCTGCCAGGGCGGGAGATGCAGAGGGATGGAGAGAGATGGAGAGAGATGGAGAGATGCATAGAACCCGCCTGTAGGTGGAATAGGGCAGGAATTGTACCTAGGGGATTGTTCTACCGTTCTGGAGCCCCTTCTTGAGCTCTAGGGGACTTAGCAGGAAGGTTAGTCTAGGCTTCTTTGCATGTTAGTACTTTGCTGTTTTCCATTCCATGCTTGTACCCTCCTGGTTTATCAATATACGGACCATTAGAGAGAGATGGAGACAGATGCAGGGAGATGCAGAGATGGTCCAATCCTAAGTCAGGTGGGTTAGAGCAGCAGGAGCCTCAATTCGCATCCATGCAGAGCCTCAATTCGCATCCATGCAGAGCCTCAATTCGCATCCAGGCGAGCTGCCCAGCGTTCTGATTTGAGCAGCAGCACAGCACACATGCCAAACGCACAACACGGAACGAGGGCGCCTATAACGCGTACAAGGGAAGGGAGTGTGTGCCTCACAGGTGCTTGAGCAAGCCCAGGTTGCCGAGTGCGTTGGGTGCCTTTTCGATGTCCAATGCCTCTAGATTGCTGCAGCGCCATGGTGGGAGGGAGACGAGGAGGGGGGAGAAGGAAAGAAGAGGGATCTATGTTTGAAGCCGCCCCATGCATTGCTGAGTGCGTTGGGTTCCAGTTTCGATGGCTAGCGTTTGTAAATTGCTGCCGCGCCAGGGGAGACGAGGAGGGAAGAGGGGGAGGAAGAGGAAGCTTTGGTGTGGCACAGTGCCGACAAGGATCGGGAGAGGAAGAATGCTACGATGGGGAAGAGGCATGCGGGTGTGACAGGTGAGCTGGAGTGGTGTGGCGTACTGCAATGCACGGGTGGTGGGGTCGGGTAAGGGATGCAGTGAGAGGGGAGAGGGGATGGGAGGGTAAAGGTGAACGTCCTGGTAGATGACTCTGAGAGGGTAAAGGAGGGGTGCGGCGAGAAGAGTCGCGGGGGTAAGTCAAGGGGAACTAAGAAGCAAGAAGTGCGTATTACAGGTAGACGAGGTTGGTGAGGGGCGCGAGGGGAGCCACGTCCTTGATGGGGTTCTGACTCATGTCGCTGGCATGAGGTGCGGAGTGGGGGGGATTGGGGGGGATTGGGGGGGATTGCGGGGGATTGCGGGGGATTGGGAGAATGGGGGAAGTTTGTGGATGGGGGGGAGGAGGGGTGGGGTGGATGGGAGGGATCGGGTAATGGGGGAGATTGGAGAGACGAACGGTATGGATGGTGGAGTCTTTCGGCGAAATTGCACCGCAGAGGGACAAGAAATGGCTTGCGATGATTGATCGTGGAGTGAGCATTGACTCGCGTTGACTCACAGCAAGGCGAGCGCGGTGAGGGCGCTGACTCCCTTGATCGTGCCGTTGATGTTGGTGTTGCTCACGTTCCTGCGCACACCAGCACGCACCAGCACGCACCAGCACGCACCGCCACACACCATCACGCACGCATGTGTTGCCACACGGTCATGCACAGCCACGAACAAACAGGACCTTCCGTAAGCTTGCATAGTTCCCGCCGTTGCTTTACGCTGCAATCCAACCATCCTTCTGATACTACACGCGCTCTAATCTGCGTTTCATGTCAGAGTACGTACAGTCCGATGATGATACCCTTGTCGTTGCAGATGATCCCGGGGTACGCCATGCAGCGCTTCGGCGGCTGCTTCGACGACCACGCGCGCGAGTAGTTGAACCCGCGGCCCCACTCCTTGGCCAGCGCTCGCAGCACCGCCACTGCGCGCACAAGCACGCGTAGACACAATCTTGAGCCGATTTCTGGGACGAATATTGAGACGAGTTTCTTCAGGCGTGCGTTACAAGCACGAGTAGGTGGTGGTAAGAACCGTAACAAACGGGTGGCAAGTGGGTGATAATCCCGTTACAAGCGTGTGGTGATTTTCTTCAAGACATCTCGTAATGAACTGAGGAGCTTCCAGCCGTATGGCAAGAACGGTGCGAGTTCTTGCGTGCGCTGCGAGTGCGTGAATACGCTGCGAGTGTGCAAAGCGCAAACCGGGAGGGGAATGGGTGCGCACATTGGGAGGAGTCGATGACGGTGTCGCGGTTGATGCCGGCTCGAACCACCGGCGGCGACAGCAGCGCCGCGGCCGCCACCCACGCGACCACGAGCACGAGCAGGCGTGGGGGGATACCGCACAGTGCCATGACGGAGTGACGCAATATGAAATTCGGGAATTTGAGTCGCGAAGGGAAGGCTTGCAGACTCCTATAGATATAGGTGTATAGACTCTTTTTGACGGCGGATCGGAGACCCTGTGTCCTTCAGTGTAGCGACTAACAGCGAAAGTGACTATAACACGAGCTCGAGACGGACAAGATTACGAGGCCAATAACTTGGAAGCATTGGGCGGGTGATGCTCTCGGGTCGCGCCTCGGAGAAACTGTGGGACGGGCAAGCTTCTAAGCGAGCAGCGCTTATCCGAGCAGACTAACGTTATTCAACGAAGCGCGTTTGACGCGTGTGAGGTAGCTTCTACACTCTTTGCAATGGCAGCAGATCGGAGCTGAGCAAACCGTCCCGCGTGCATTAGCTATTGAACCATTAGGCGCAAGATCGGGATATCTAACTTGCAAGGCTGCACTCCGCTGACGTGCTCTGAGAAGTGCGCTTCGACCGATAATATTTATCTGCTCACAAGGCACTTAGCATGACGGGCGAGAGATAAAACCTAACGAGGCTACCTCAAGAACGCCGCAAGCGCAGTGACGGCTACGAAAAAGCTCTGCTGGAGCGGGTCGTGCGTCGTTGACGGCGGACGTTGCGGCGAGCGAGAAAAGCGAACGGCTCGAGCCTTTTCTGTAAGCGGACACACGTACGAAGCATCGGGCGAGAAATGCCAGGCAAACTGATCTATGCTACTCTAGTTCGTGCTTGTTCCAGCAAGATAGCCGCACTCATGCTAATCCATGCAGCAAGAAACGCATCACCCTCCTCCTCTGCAAGAAGCTCCATCCCAGCTGCTGCTGCGGAGTGGAAAGCTGTGCTGAGTTGGTCGAAGTCTCAATCCAAATCAACGTTTTTCTCCCGCCACCGAGTCGCGAGTCGCCATGTGAAATTGAATGTGAGCGCGGTGAACGGATCGCGTCTGTTTTACCGCCAAGTCTGCTCCTTTGACCAAGTAGCACGATATGATGCCAAGGGGTGGGGGGGGAGTCGAAACTCGGGGACGACGCGGATTGGGGGAATTTCTCCAAGCCAGGAATGCCGCCGGCGCAGCTGGCGTTGACGGCTGCAGTTACGAATTTCAGTCGGGGAAAAGGCCATTGTAAGGGCGTGTGAGGTCTTTGAAATTTGTAAAAGTTTATGTTTTTAGGGTGAATTTTAGTTTAGAACTTACAACGAAAGAAGTTCGAATTTCCTTGTATCTAAGTTCGAACATCGGGCTTACCACACTGTAAAAAATCACACACACATACAAGGTCGAACCCCGACATTCGAACTTGTAAAAACGAGCCGAGCCGCACATCAACATCATAGGTTACCCGGTTCGAGAGTCTTGACAGTGCGCCACGTCAACATTTTGCGCCTCGGTTTACAAGGACCTAGAGCTCCAACTCACCTTCCGCGCCGAGCGTTTAACCAGGGTACAAATAGCCCCCGTGGCAACACCTTGTATACTCGTCATTCGCCCAACATGACACGTTGCCACATCGTGCTCGAACATGCCACGATGCTGGACACGTGGCTACCACTGTGTGCACGAATTGTGGGGTGACTTCGTTGTGCAACTTCATGCATTGGCGAAGCGCTCGCCCGTTTCGCCAGCTGTTCGGACGTGCTGCAAATCACACACGCTCGTATGAACGTGCGCACGCACGTTCCCGCCTCCGACTCGAGTCAAGTTCATATTTCAAACTCGAACTTTTGCAGAGCCCTACCAATGCTTGGTTCGCGAAGCACCCTTCGCGAAATTAGCGAAAAGGGTAACCACCCAAAGTTCGAACTTTATTTTGAACTTCTACAAAGACCTCACACGCCCTAAGGAATTTTCTCGGCATTCCTTACGGAGCCCGACTACATCTCGCACTGCTTCACCAAACCTCTCACTGCTGGCCTGGCCGTGTCGGCCTACGCTTCGGGACTAGCCCGAGCCTCGCTCCAGCGTAGCACTAGCTAGCTCGCACGCACCGCGTTACCGTTTGCATGTTTCGCATATAAATGTTCGCTCATGCCTTCGCTCACATTTTGTACTCGTTTTGACACCTTAGTGCAATTCTCGCTACTTCGATTCATTGCACCCGTAACAGCCATACACATTCATCAATTTAGGAAAACATTTATATAATACAATACATGCTAAACAATCCTGATCCTACTCACCTCCCTACAACTACATTCTCATCAAAATCATTATCTACATGAATCAAATCCGGTCTACTTGTGCCACTGTCCTTGGTCCTAACAGAACCTAGGTGTTGAAACAGGGAAGGCACGTGGACGTACCCCTTGATGCCTGACACATTCAGGTACTTGTTCACGAGAAGATCCATGTTTGTCTCCATCAAGTGCTCCTCCATGTACTGCAGCATACCTTCCAACGCAGTCACGTTGAAAAGGAGTGCCTGGGCACAGCATGGCACAGAATACTCATCCCCATGCTGGTGTCCCCAGTTGTATGACTGGGGGTTGTACAGCGATACCACTCCCCAGCTCTTATGGGTCAGATCCTCTTTCACAAACCTCTCAATCCCAACATCATACAGCTTGGCAGGCAGAGTATCGTCCTGCAGCAGCAGAACATACTTGGGTCGGGTGGCGAGGCATTGTCTCGCCACATAGATAAAATCCATGACCAGTTTGGTGCGCCATTTCCAGCTCTCCCACCCATCCTTCCCCACCATCTTATCCTCAACTCCCCCGCGCCTCAGATCCTCCTCCCCCTGCCCTATGAACCGGCACACGTCCTCATGCGCTCTCAGCACATCCACACGCATCGACAATCCCTCGGACGCTTGCTCTATCTCTCGTGTATAAACACCGACCATCTCGTTCGCCCTTTTTGTGTCTTCAACGACAAAATCAGCTTCCATATCCTCAACACTCTTAGCCGCTCCGATCCGCCTGAGCCTACCCATGCGCTGCCGTCTGTTGGCCGCAACAGCAGCTGGAACTAACGCCTTGCAGCCCGCGCTATACACCACCGCGTGCATTTTCCCCAGGCCGCCGCGCTGCTTCCCCCTATGCGCGGAATTCTGCCGGGAGTGGCGCTCGTCAAGCAGCTTCAGCAGCGCCACGGGGAAATGCCACGGGGGGAGCTCCTGGTGGGGGAACGCGCGCGGGGAGGAAGGGATCGCGACGCATATGCCGCCCCTGCCGCCGCCGTCGCCGCTCTGCGGATCTGTAATGCCATCCCAGTGGCCATCGCCGCTCCCACCGCTACTCAATGACGCAGGTGCATTTACCCCTGCATTTTGCGGAATGTTTCCGCTGCCTGCCTCTCCGCTGCTCCAGCGAAACCACGCTCCCACTGGGAACCAAGGATGAGCCGCATGGCGCGAAATCCCTCCGCCTCCCACTCGCGGTTCGAAAAAATCCGCGCTAACGTGTCGCCTGAGATGCGAGAGCGGCAAACCCGTTACTAGGCTTTCCGGCGAAGCTCTCTCAAGCAACGGTCGACGCATGAAGAAGCTAAGCGGGCCTCGGAGGCCAATTTCGAACGGCTTGAAGCGCGAAGATCCTCGAAGGATCGACTCGTGCGCGACGCTAACGGACGGCAGGGACGGTAAAGACCAGGCGTGAGCGAGCCACAAGGCGGGGAGCATGAGGAGGAAGATTGCGAGGGAGAGCAGCAGCAGGAACACCACGACCACGCGTCGCCAATGCAGCTTGCAACACGGCGAATGCGGCGCGTGCCGCGTCGGCCGTCTGCATGGCGCCGCCGTTCCAGATGCTTCGAGCGGGGCTTCCGCGCCGGCTTCCACGGCGGACGGCCGACGCGGAGGAGGATGCGGCGCCGCGTGATGTGGCTTGGCGCGCGGCTGCGGGGAGGAGGAGAGCGTGGGCGTGAGCGCGACGGCGACGTCGCGCGGAAGCCGCGGAGAGGCGCGACGGCAGGTGGAGCTCGAACCGGCGGCGGGTTTGCTCTCGGCGGGGGTTCGAGCGGGAGTCCTGGTGGAACGGTGGAGGGAAGCGAATGACGAACCCAGGTCTGGGAGGGGTATTGCGAGTAGCTTGGTCCCCCGACGCGTCGCGATGGATTTTTTGCCATCCATGTCTGGTTTGCTATCGATCGGACCTTGGGAAGATTGCGAAGGCGGTGAATCTGCCATACCAGGGACGAAAATGGGACAACGAGCTCCGTGCACGTGTTGAACTACTACTCTGTGATGGTAGTCTGGAGTGCGTGCTGTCTCTTTCTATGAGCAATGGGCATGAGAACGAGATGGTAGGACTATGGATCTCTTCGCATCTACAAGGGGCCATTCGACAAAAGGGACAACGGATCAGGCTTGGGTTCTATCGACCTGAGGTTACAGCAGCTGATGGGAGGGCCTGCGGTTGGCAAGAAAGGGTGGAGCTGAGGCACCTGTTCCTCTGGCCTGAGCTGGTATGATGCGAGAGAGGCATGGAGGAGAGAAAGACGACAGCTGGTAGTGTACAACCTCCACTTCTTGGGCATTGCTGGAGGGGCGCTTGCTTGTCGTGTGGAACGTCGGCGGTAAGGTGTCTTGGGTCTTGTCGGCCCCACTCTCTGTCCCTTCTGACGACCGATCTGGCGAGTTAAGCGAGTGTCGCATGTGGCACAACCCCCCTGCCAGCGAAGCTTGAGATTGCTGAAGCGATATGAGCGAAATTTTGTAAGCGGAGGCGAAGCCATGTACTGCAGTAACAGCTTCAACACTTCGAAAGCAGCACTAGACCAACCAAAGCAACCACATGGGGGAACAAAATCATGTCATAATGACATGGGCAAACAGCCTGACGTGGTGGTCTGTCGCATCCCACCCTCCAAAACATGCAGAACTTGAAAATCTCACTCAATTTTCGCCAGCCTTCGCTAAGCTCGTCCAGGGCAAGAACTCCCTGACGAGAACTTCACGAAATTGTTCACTCGATTCACGGGGTATGCTTGCTACACGACAGCGTTAGCCCAAGATGTGGAACATGATAAACGCCGCACATGGGGGACATTGGCAGCTTGGCGTTTGCCAGCTGGATTTCAGCGAGTCGAGATCATAAGCCAACAAGGAAAACGGTGATGTGAGGTACGGTGAGGATGGTGAGCACAAATAGCACAATGTAATAATGTAATATTGGTTCTAATACAACATATGGCTTCATCGCATCCACCTCGGTGACCTCATAATACAAATTTCAAGACTCCATGAAATTTAGTTTTTTCCCATAGTATTTCTTGATAAAATATCAAGATAGTGTTGTTTTTTCTCTGTGATTTGTTTATGCAGTTTTTTCCCATAGACCTTCACTATTCAATTGTTTACATGGAGTAAGAAGAATCATGAAAAAAAATCATTTCTGATTGAATGGACGTCTGGTCACATTCGGATAAGTTTATAAGAACTTTAACAGCTAAAAATGTTTCAAGATTAATATATTGGTTGTTCTTAGTGTGCATTTCATTTTTAGTTGTCGTGAATGAATATATTGGCTGGTGACGCAAACTGCTTCGCTATTACCTGCTTCACTTTGCGGCGCAGTGGACCCCGCTCCGCGCAGCACAATCCGCTTCGCCCGCCCCACGCGCTATTTGGGGTGATACTTTGCGGCGCTGTGCACTCCGCTCCGCGCTGCACTGTGCGCTTCGCCCCGCGCGCCATTTTCCGCGTGGTATTTGGGCCAAATCGCCGCAAGCAGATGCCCACACACCCCTACCATCACATGATGCTTCGCCACTGGTCCAAATTTCATCACCAATCAGCTCGCGAATATATTTTTGCTAGTGAGAATCTGTGAAACCAGCAGTACTCATTTTCGCGAAGTTCGCTGAACACGAAAGTCAAAGGTCCCCCATTTCGGCCCAGCCATTCCATGCTGAGACCCTATCTCCCACCCCATTCCTGCCTCAGCCGCTCCCTCCCAAAAAAAATCACTATTTCAAGGTTCACCGCGAATCACTAGTGCTCACCCGTGGTCCCTCCTAGAGTTCCCAAGCAGCCGCTTCTTTACCGCCAAATCAAACGGTCGCTGCTTGAAACCGTGTAGATTCCGTGTGGAGATTGTTCATCGCTTATGCTTCGCGGCTCGAAATCGTCTAGGTTCCGTGTGGAAAATTTTCATCGCCCATCCTTCCGCACTCTCAATTCGTAGTTAGCCACGAATATTTAGCAAGCAGGTCATCCTCTTTCCTGTACTCCTATCAATCTAGCTTCTACGACGTTATTACGGCTTTCTCGGTCAAGCCCTTCATCCTCTCTGGAACTCGCCTTCTGAGGGGGAGCTCAGTCGGTTCAAGCTGCAACCTGCTCGAGCACGGGATGTCTCAAGTGCATGAGATTCCGCCTGCTCGAACTCTTCACCAGCCCGCCGTGGACCTTTCCAGCTAAGTGTTCCTTCCACTGCTGTCGAAGTTTTATTTTCTATTTCCAGCTTTCTGTTCGTGCTGTTAAATTGTTTTCCAGCCAAAGCGTCGCCTGTAGAGCTCCCTGTCTCCTACCCTAGATCTGGTTTAGCCTCTTTAGTCGGTCTAGCGTCAGCGTCGCTAAGTCAAGCATAGCTGCGTCGGTCTGTCAGAGCTTTGCAGTGCGGTTGCTTTGGCTGGAAAACATTCCCCATTTCCCCACACACGACTTCACCGCTTTTGTCGTCTTTATGGCATCCCACTGTCACTTGAAACTGACTTTGTTGTTTTTTCTTCTAATGCATTCAGGTGTTCCTTCAATAATATGGGAGTAGCCAAGACCTTCTTCAACCGCGTTGAAGCAGCAAGGTGCTCAACAGTCAACATTCAAGTCGTGGAGCCAAATCTGCACAACGTCAACAGTTCAAGAAAAAGCTATGTATCACGCGCCCTTGTCTTCTCTTTCATTGTTTCCTGTTGGTAATGTTTCTGCTCTTTCAGCCATCATCATAACATTTTAGCCTTCCAGTGCATAATATGTATGCTTGAGTGCTTAACATTACCACCACTTGAGCCTTCCCTGGTATTTTTTTAAGGTACTCTTTTCTGGTGAGTCCTTCAGGTCCCTTAAGGTTTTTTTCTGGTATATGGCTCTTGTGGTTGTGGTGGTGAGCACCCTTGTATCCATACTACTGCATCTTCCACCCATCATGCATGCATACGCTTGCCTTTCTGGACCTTCTTCTGCCACCATTACTCATACACCCCCTTCCCGTTCCTTCACTCAATTTGCAGGTATCTCAACATTAAAGGCCTTCAATGTTCAAAGACTTTTGGAAGTCAATCATTTCAAGCCCCAAGACTGAAGGTTCTGAAGGTAAGGACTAGTCCACTTGACAGTTTTATTTTGTGGCACACTCACTAACATTCTGCTTTTCTTCCTGCAGGAGTTTCAACATGTCAACTGACACTTGCCACTGAAGATGGCCAAGAGTGAACTCCGAAGTTTCAAGCTTACCTCAAATGGTAACACTTTAACCTTCCACAGTGTTAATGTGTGCCACACTTACTGACATTCCGCTTTTCTTCCTGCAGGACTTCAACATGTCAACGGTGACTTCAACAAGATCTTCAAATGACAGCCATCACTGAAGATGCGTAACTCAGCAATCAAGATCTTCAAATGACAGCCATCACTGAAGAACTCAGCAATCAAGGTATGTCTTCATTATTTTAGCAGTTCAATTCAATGCTTACTGCATTCCTGCTCACTCTGGCTGAGGACTGATATCTCTTTTGTCGTTGTGCAGGTAACCTGAAGGCATGGGGAGGCAAAGCATGGTGCTGAGGGACCCTTGGGGTTGTCTAAAGACTCGGATCCGGGCCATGTAGCAGACTGATTCTGTCGTACAGAGCTGACTGCAGCAGCTCTGTATCGGCAGATTCAGTCTGTGAAAATGGGCTCCCGCATGCCTTGGGTTTAGTGACTCTGAGGGTGCCTTCAGCAGCCAATTGCCATGCCTCCTGCAGCCACTCTTTCCAGGCCAAGACAGTGTGAGTTGTTTTGGTTGCTTCAATTTAACTGCTTATACTTCTGCCTGGATACTAACGCTTTGTTTTGTTCTCTGCAGATATTCCAGACTAAGACTGTGTATCCATGTGAGTCGTTTTGGTTGCTTCAGTTTAACTGCTTATACCTCTGCCTGGATACTAATTCTTTCTTATGTTCTCTGCAGGTATCTTGTATTTCTACAACAGGCTTCAGGGCAAGTTGATGTTTTGTAGCATTTTGTATATACTGACACTTTAATGTAAACTTTTATGCATAGAATTTCGAAGCTGAAAGCAACTGTAAAACGATTCAAAAGTTGAATCAAGACTCCCATGCTAGCATGAACCTTGTTACTACTGCCAATGAACTGAACGATTTGACTAGCATGATCTGTTACGATTTTACAAGCTGAACCTCCAAACGAATAATGAGAGGTACCCGACATTGTACAACGGTATTCCATCGGGAAGGGTACAGCGTCCCCTCTGGCTCGATCGTGCAAAAACCGATCTTTGACCGCACCAAAAAAACCCGTGTATTGCATTCAAAACTTCTAGACGTTTTTTGAACCACGTGAAAAATCGACCCTACGTAGGATCGATCGCAGGATTGGCCTTCAGGTAACTTGTCCTCAAGGATTCTCGAAATCTCCGCGCTTCTCTGAACTCTCTCGGCTGAGGTCTTTCCCCGCTCCCAGATTTCCCTTACCGTACTGTACCGCCTTCCCCTTCCCCCCACGCCTGGCATTCCGTCCATTTATCATTGCACCCGTTGTTAGGACGCGTCACCTGAAGCGGATCATCGAAGATCGGCCGATCCGCACCGATTGCCATTTCGAGCCCAAGCTCGGTAGAGATCGGTGCCCATGACTGCGCAGCTTCGGCGCACCGATATTCAGGTTACAGGTTCGGTATGGCAGGTTACGGGGTTGTGGTAACCTGGCCTGCGACATCAGCAATGTTGTCGTGCGCAGAATCGCACTGGGAAAACCTAGGGTATGCGACGACGAGCGAAAACAATCAAAATTGACTGTCACTTGTGGCGCGAAATTCCACACCCCGCCACCCAATCTCACGCTCGATATTTTTACTTAGCTGTATCGATCAGGGCTCCCATAGGTGACAGGTTCGTGGGCACATTTTTACCGTACATTCGCGAGCATTCACGAGATCTAGTTACCTTGCCGATTACGACGCTACAGTGCTACACCCCATGCGCAAAACCGATCTTCCAGCCGAACGATCCGCTTCAGGTGACGCGTCCTTACATCAGCTTCTTGACAAGTCTTCTGCCATCCATACACCACCAGCGCTCGAGTTGAGACCGGACTAGCAGCATGCTTGTACGATGCCATTGGCTTACTTAGTCTGTGATTCAGGTTAGGTTTGGCATTAGTAAGGATCCGAGGCAGCCATGGTGTTCATGCGTAGCTCCGCAGAGGAGCTCTTCCGAACTCTTGCGCAGATTCCTCCCGCCGATGGCCACGGGAAGCCATCAGTTCCTCGCGTTTCAGAGACATCCGTCAACATTCACGATTTGCTTGTAAAAAAAGTGCTCGCATCGGGAGGCATTCGCGAATCGTCGTCGCGAACTGACGACATTGATAACGACGGCGACGCGTCTGCTAGCAAATGGCCATTCCGAAAGCCGGCGACAACATTTTCCGCATTCCTCGCTCCCCGCGAGTTGCGCCAGCTCGCAGCAGCCGTCGGCTCGCTCGCCGGTCCGGATCCTTCCAGCGGCCGCGCAGGCGGAGCATCTGGCGGAACCACCAGCGCGAAATCCCTTCGCAAGCACCATGATGCCTCCGCCTGTTCCGCGCATGTCTCCTCTCTCCCCGTGCTCAACCTCGCATTGGATTACCTGCAGGCTATTCCTGACCTGCTTCTAACCCACGCGGGTTCCCCCGCCTGCCGCGCAATGCTCGCTTGCTGTCGCTCCGGCGCTCTCCTCGCATTCCTGGCGGAGCTACGCCGCTGCGCTTCCGCAGACCCGTGCGTCTTCGGCTCCCCCGTGGGGAAGGCGACGGCGGAGCTTCTGCTGGGCCTAGCGCGCTCGCACGACACTTTCCTCGAAGCTTCCGCCAGCCCATCGAGTCGCGACGGCGCCAGTTCGGATTCCGCGCTCACAGGCGGAACAGCCGCGCGCGCGTCCTCCGCGGGAGCGGACGTGCAGGCGGTAGTGGGGGAGGTGGTTCTGGCGCTAGCGCGGCACTGCATCCCCGCGGGGCTCGCGGAAGCCGGCGGAACCGATTCGCCAGGAGGGGACACGGCGGGCGACAGTGGCATGAGCGGCGGAAGCGCCGTCCTCTCATTGGCGGAAGCATTGCAAGCTGTGTTCGACGTGTGGGTGAAGCCGCATGTGGGAGGGGGGAGCGGTGGCGCAGCGGGTTCCGCCACCATTCTGGGCAGAAGCAGCAGCAGTGGCGGAGGGGAAGGCGGGCTGGCGGGGGACGATTTGGATGGGCGCAGACCCTCCGCCTCGAGCGAGCAGCTGACGTCGCTGCTGACGTCAGGAGCCGGAGCAGTGGGGGACGCGGGGCATTTGCCTGGTGCGGAGGGGGCGGTGGAACTGGTGGGGGCGGTACCTGTGGGTCCGTGGCGGCTGCAGCTGCTGGCCGGCGCGTTCAGGGTAGCTGCAGCGGTGGTGGGAGGGGAGGACGATGGCGCACTGGCGGGGAAACGCGGAGGCGCAGCAGGAAGCGCGGGGGAGAAGGCTCTGGAGAACGTAGTTGGCCAATACGTCGCCGCCACGTCAGCTCTGCTGTCGAATTCGACAAAGCTTTTGCAGGTGAGCGGTTTGCTGCACGATGGGTGGTGGGTCGTTGCTTAGAGCCCGGTATACACTGGTTGCAGGAATAGAGACTGCTGTAAGATTGCACATTGCTCTAGTAGTCTAGAATGGCACGTTGCTTTGACTCCCATGCCACTGGGTGAGCCTCGTTCGAGAGGCTAATGCGCTCCCACCCCTGCGTCTGCTGCTACCTCTGCTGCGGCTGCCTGCCTGGCTGGATGATGCGGGGGCGTGGTGTGGTGTGATCATCGGCTGTGGGGACTTCTGCTGCGCTGCACTCCCCACCGCCTCTTGACTGCCTCTCGCCTGCATGAGTGCGCGGGGCCTGCACGGGTCCCTGTGGCTGCCATCTGCCTCTCCCCTCCTCTCCCTGCTGCTGCTACCTTGGCAGCCGCTCCTGTGGCCGCCTCCGGTGCTGCTCCTGCTGCTCGCATATGCTGCCAACACTGCTCCCACCGCCGCTGCCGCTGCAACACCGCCCCGTTCTGATTCCACACCTTCTCTTGCTGCCACTGCCACCGCCACTGCTGCTGCTGCCTCCACTGCTTCTACTGCTGCCGCAGCCGCCGCCGCCGCCGCCGCCACTGCTGCTGCTCCTCCGGGCTGCACCCCTCCGCGGTGCTCCTGGGTCTTCCCGACTCCGTCCATCACCGCACTGGCAACCCCACCCCGGCCGCACCTATCCTCCGCCACTGCTGCTGCTGCATGTGCCGTTGCTGCCGCTGCAGCTGCTGGTGGTAGAAGGGGCAGTGGCTGCGGCAGCGGTATCAGCAGTGGGAGTAGCAGTGTGTATCATCCACCGTATCCGTCCTCTGCTGCTGGGCTTGGGCTCGCTGCGTGCATATCCCCTCCTCACTCCCCTCCTGCGCCTACCTCCGTGCCTCCGACCTCTGCTGCTCCCTGGACTGAGGTTGTCCTGCTGCTGCTGTTGCCCTGCCCCGCTGCTTCTCCTGCCTCTTCTGCCTCTCTTTTCCTCCTAAATATTGTCTGTGGGGGATCGGGTACCTGAAACCTGCGGACATTGTTTGCTGCACGTCATATGGCAAAGGAAAAAACGACCCCGGGGGAGAGCACAGGGCAGCAACTGTTGCCTTGTGCAGTTCACATGCATGCAAGCGCATCCTCTCTCCCGTTCTCACATGATGTAGTTTTCCTATGTTCGCGTCTCTATCTTCCTCCCTCCTCCACTCTCTCCTGCCCATCCTTCTTTCTACATCTCCTCCCGTTCCCCCCTTTTTCTGTGCCCCCTCTTCCCCATTCTTCCCCTCTGCTCCCCCTCCCTCCCTCCCTCCACCACAACCCCACTTATTTGCACCGTCTCCCTGGCAGCTGCGGCGGCAGGAGGCAGCAGGCATGTCCTTGGCAGCTCGAGCAGAGGTTGCAGCGAGGCTGCACGCTGCTGAGTCAGCAGCAGCGTTCGCCACGTCAGCGGTGGAGGGGGGGCGGGCGTCGCTGCGGGCGGTGAAGGGTGTGAGGGCGCTCTGCCTGCAGGTGGCTGATGCGTGCTCGCGATCCGCATGGCGCAAGGTAAGGGGAAGGGGATGGGGGACGGGGGGAGTGGGGAAGGGGGAAGGGGGATGGAGGGAATGGAGGAAGGGGGAATGGGAAAGGGGGAAGGGGGCGTCACAGTGGTGAATGGCGCGAGGGCGCTGTACCTGCAGGTGGCTGATGTTTGCTCGCGATCCGCATGGCGCATGGTGAGGGGGCGGGGGAGAAAGGGAAGGGGGGCAGGTGATGGGGAAAAGGGGGAAGGGAGTTGGAAATGGACAAGGCAAGGGCAAGCAGAAAGGATGATAGGGAGGAAAAAAATTGAAGTGAGAGGGCGGGTTAGAGAGGGGAAGTCGGGGGGATGTGAGAGAGAAGGCGAAGGCGATAAGTAGAGAAGTTTCAGGCGAGTGCACACATCAAGAGAGGAACAGAAACAGTTACCAGCTACCTCACCCACTTTCTCCCACGGCGCCCTACTCCTCCCCGCCCCCTGCCCCTCACCAGATCCCAGCCTGTGAGGAGCTCTTCTCAGCGGTCCTATCAGCAGCCGCCAGGCTGGCAGTGCGGCAGAGCGAGGCGAGCGGGGCAGGGCGGGAGGACGCGGAGGCAGCAGCGCTGCAGGAGACACTCCTGCCCATGCGCTCCCTCGTGCTCGCCGCCGCCATGCAAAGCCCCATCCCTGCCGCTTCCCCCACGCCCACCACCGCGCTCACTGCCACGAGGCGCGCGCCGATGGTGGCGAGTGTGGTGGGGGCGTGCAGCCTGCTGCTGCAGGCCACGTGGGCGTCTGGCGACCACGCACGCGTCAAGTCCTTCCTGCTCTCCCTGGGATCGTACATGCGCCAGCCTCCCTCCTCGCAGGTGCCATGAATTTACATTCTTCTAGGTACAAGTTCACGCTTAGCGAAGTGAAACGAATGAATGAAAGCCATTCCAGTTAATAAGAAACGTAGTGCTCACTACTCAGGCAAACAACAGGCAACTGGAAGCATTACAGCTTTTGCAACCTCTTGCCTCCCCGCGTGGCACGCTGCTCTGCAACCTTTGCCTTGGCCTCCCACCCCCTGTTTCCCCTCTCCCCTCTGCAGGACGAGCAGCAGCGCGCCAGCATGGCATGCCTGCGCTACAACCTGGCGCCCATCCTAGTAGAGGTAGCAGCAGCGGCCAGGGGCGCTACAGCCGTGACAGCCGTGGTTCCCCTGCTGCTGGAGGCAGTGCGAGCACCCAAGGAGGACCCCGCTATCCGCCACGAGGTGCTGCGCGCGCTGGCAGCAGCAGCGGTGGCGGCGGCAGGCATGGGGCAGGAGGGGCCGTACCGAGAGGTGGCGGTGCTGCTGCTGTGGGAGTATGGTCGGGAGGCGGGGGAGGTGCAGCCTCAGGTGGAGGTGAGTGGTGGGTGGGGTGCGGGAAGGAGAGATTGACGAGGGTAAGAGTGGGGTAGGAGGGGCCGTACCGAGAGGTGGCAGTGCTGCTGCTGTGGGAGTATGGGCGGGAGGCTGGGAGGTTCAGCTTCAGGTGGAGGTGAGTGGTGGAGGAAGGGGGGAGGGTAGGGATGGACGGGGAAGAGAGGGAGGAGGAAGGGACGTGTAAGGGGGATGTGGGATTTGGGAGTAGGGAGTCGGGATAGGAGAGTTTGCTCACATTGTACAGAAACATCTACCGCCGCTGCTTCTCTCCTCTTCTCCCGCCTCTCATCTCCCCCAACCCCACATGAGCTGCTCTGCTCCGTTCTGTCACAGCTGGCTTCCACTCTCTCTCCCTCCCATCGTTTTGAAACCACTTTCTGCCATTCTTCTCCTCTCCTCTTCTCCCGCCTCTCCTACCACCCCCACCAGGTGCTGTCCTCTGTGCTGGCGCAGCTGGCCTCGGGTCTCTCCCGCCCATCCCTCCGAGACGACTTCTTGCGTCGCCTGCTCGCCACCTGTGCTGAGGTGGCCCTTGCCACAGAGGCGGAGGGGGGCAGGTGAGCAGGCCAGGTCCACTAGAGCAACGGTGTGGACCTTGTCCTTTGCAGTGTGTGCTTGCCGCTTGCCCCTCTTGCAAACGCTTGCTCCTCCCTGCACTGCCTCAACCTAACCTCCCCTCTCCCTCTCTCCCTCACGTTGTGCCCCCTCCGTGCCCCATCAGCCGGGGAGCAGAGCTGCTGGGTCCCCTGCTCCCAGCAGTGGCAGCGGCGTGTCGCCACGTGGACCCTCTACACCGCCCGGTGGACCCCTCCCTGCAGCGCCTCTTCCGCAACCTCTGGTTCTACTGCGCTCTCTTCCGCCTTGCCCCGCCCCTCCACTCCTCCCCCGCCTCCGCTGCTGCCGCTGCCGCCGCCGCCGCTGCCGCTGCAGCCACTTGTGCCGAAGGTGCCTTTGGTGCAGGATCAAGCAACACTCCTGATGCTGCTGCCGGGGGTGGTGGGCAGGGCGTGGCTGGTTCCCCGTTGCCGTCGTCCAATCCTCCAGGGGTGCTGGCAACTTGCACCGGTGGTGGGGGAGGTGGCAAGGCGGGGGGAAGTGCGGACGACTTGACCAAGGGGCCGTATGCATGGCGGGCTGAGTGGGCTGCTGCTATGAGGCACATCGCTGCTCATACTCCTCCGCTGGTATGTGCCCCTCACACTTAGTTGCACAAGAAGACAGATGCACAATCACACAGATGCACAATCACACAGATGCACAATCACACAGATGCACAATCACACAGATGCACAATCACACAGATGCACAATCACACAGATGCACAATCACACAGATGCACAATCACACAGATGCACAATCACACAGATGCACAATCACACAGATGCACAATCACACAGATGCACAATCACACAGATGCACAATCACACAGACACACAAGCAGGTAAACTCACCGGGACACATGCACACATGCACACAAGCATGCACCAGCACCTGTAACTGCACAAGGGATCCTCACTCCTAGACTCTAGGTTTCTTGCGTTGCGTGTAGGGTGTCTCACATGTGCTCAGAGCTGCCAGGCCCGCGTGTGCTGCTGGAGGGTGCGTGGGCGGTCTTCTCCCCGCGTGCATCCATCTGTGCAGGCAGTGGGCGCCTTCTCGCGCCTTGACGACGAACTGGAGCTCGCAGCGCTGCACCGCCCTGGCAGCCAGAGGGGCAGCGGCAACGAGCAGGCGGCCGTGAGGCAAAGGAACGTGCTGGGCGCGGCTGTGGGGTCAAGGCTTGATGCGAGCGTCATCAGCAGCATCACTGGTGGGTGGGAGGAATGATATGGTTTGGGCAAGCTGTCTGAAGGGGAGAGGTGTCGGGCAGGCAGGTGTGAGGCAGAAGGGCAAGCACTGATGGACGGTGGTGTGACCGTGTGAGTGGACCGTCACTGTAGGAAACAGTTTTTGTTGTTGTCACTAGTTCAATACAATAGTACCCTCTTACCGCCCGCTTGACAGATTCGCAGAAGTGACACATTGCATGTGCCCGCCCACCTCTTGCATTCTGTGCAGGGGTGAAGGCCACCAATCTGTTGTCCATTGTGCTGCTCGAGTCCCTCCGCGTGTCTGCTGCCACCGCCCTCGTCCCCGTCCCTGACACCACCCCCCACTCGCCCGCCCGCGGAGAGGAGACCAGTCAAGTAGCAGCAACAGGAGAAGCAGCAGGGGTGGTGGCGGCGCGGCAGCGGTGGGAGGAGGGGAGTGAGAACCGCAGTGCAGTGACGTGTCTGCTGGAGTACATTCAGATGCCCAACCCCCGCGCTGCTGTGCGCCACTGCCTCTCTGCCGTCGTGCTCCGCGCCTTTGACGCCCTCCTCCTTGCCCTGGTGAGACTTTGACATCACTGCTGTTCTCTTTGACCTCGCAAGAGCCCAGCGGGACAGAGGAAGGCAGCAGTGTCATGTCATCCGTGCATGCAGCTTCATGCTGCCTGTTCCCTGTGGACACATCAAATGGGTTCGCTCCATTCACCAATCTAGTCCACCCCGCCTCCCATCCCCGTCCACCTCCCTCCCACCTTATTGCACATTCCTTTGCATTGCATTCCCCCCCTCTCTCCTTTCCCTGCCCCCTCGTAGGAGCACGAGCCGAGCGACACAGTGAGGCTGGCAACCCTCTCAGCACACGCATGCATGCTGCTGGACTGGACGCGCTGTGGGACGGGCAGGAGTTTGTGTGCGACACAGCACGCACCATGCTCTTCCCCCCCTCCCCACCTCCCACACAGGAGCATGAGCCCAGCGACACGGTGAGGCAGGCGGCATTATCCGCGCACGCATGCACGCTGCTGGACGCGCTGTGGGACGGGCAGGAATTCGTGCGAGACACAGCGCGCACGATGCTGAGCCTGCTGCGCAAGGCCTTCCCGCACCTCCTCTGGCACCCGCGCTGCATCCGCTCCCTCCTGCGCTTCCACCCGCCGCAGCACATGCTCGCCTCGGTCGGAGAGGCTGCAGCGGAGGCAGCGGCAGGAGTGGGAGGGGGAGCAGGGGGAGGGGACGGGGAGGAGGAGATAGCGGAGGTGGCGTGGGATCCAGAGGCGGCTGCTGCAGCTGAAGTTTTGGCCATGGATGTTGCTAAGGACTGGCTCGCCACGGCGTTTCTCCTTGCGCCACTTGTCACGCAGGCATTGGTCGAGGTGACATCTGGGGGGTGGGGTGGGGGGGGGGTAGGAGGGAGGGGTGGATTGTGTAGGGTCGTCCTTGGCTGCGCTACGTCGTCACGTGCTGTGCTCCCGTGTGTAGATAGATAGGGCAGACAGCTGCCAACATATCCCTGTGCCTGTCTCCTCTTTCCCCCCTCCCCCCCCCCCTCCCCTTTCCCCCTCCCCATTTTCCCTCACTCTCCCCATGTTTTTTGTTTGTGTGTGCGTGTTTTTTTTTTTTGTTTGACGTCCCTCTTCAACCCATCCCCACGCTCCCCACTGGCTACGTGTTTCCACAGGAGGTGCTGCGGGGTGGGGACTCGGACCCAGAGTCAGTGGCGGGGCTGCTCAGTGTGCTGGCAGACATCAAGCACCGGCCCCGAGGTAGGGGGCGCTGGGGGTAGTGCATACCTGCTACACTGCTACACGTCACTCATTTATGGCAAGGGCAGGGGAAATCTTCTCTGTGTCCATCCATATCCTTCTCCTTCCTCGCTCTTTACCTATCCCTCCTCTGGTTCCCTCATCCATCTACCCGCATTCTTCCTCATAACACCTCTCTTCCTCCTCTCCGTTCCACCCGTCTCATACCCCCCAGGGTCAGCAGCAGACAGCACGCGGTCGCCCTTCACCCTGGCAGCACAGGCCACAGTGGCCGCATCCCTCAAAGCCCACAGCATGGGGCAGGTCGCCGGGCTGCTATCAGCCCTCTCCTCGCTCCCTGCTGCCTCAACCGGCATATCCGGCACAGCAGGCACAGCAGCAGTCACGTTTGGCACAGCAGGCTTGGAGGCCCATCCTCCTGCCCACTCTCCTTACAAGCATGGCGCTGGTATAGCAGTTGGATCGCATGCTGTTCCGCATGCAGCAGCCAAGCCGGACCCCCATGTGACTCTACTGCAGGCGGCTGTGACTCAAATGGAGGCGCTTGTAGAGGGCGGGGGCGGGGGAGGGGAGATGGGGCAGGGGGTGGTATCATGGGGGCACATGGGGGGGGAGGAGGGGCGGAGGAAGGAGAAGGAGAGAGCCGCATCCGTGGCAGCAGATGCAGAGAAAGTCCGGGACAGGTGCCTATGGGCTGTAGCTGCTCTAGTGCTTGTGGAAGGGCAGCAGAGGGGGCATCAGAGAGGGCAGCACAAGGGGCAGCAGAGGGGGCAGGGCAGGAGGCGTGCCTCTCCCCATCAGTCCGCTCTGGAGCTCCGTCTAATCCATCTCCTCGCCCGCACGCCCCTGCGTTTCTTCACCCCCCAGTCCCTCCGCGCCTGCTGCCTCGCCTGGGCCTGGCTGCTCGCCGCCCTCCCCCGCCTCTCTGCCCCTCTGCTCTCCCAAATCGCAGCGGCGTGGGGGGAGACGGTGGCGGGGAGGAGAGGGGTGTTCAGAGCGTTGCAGGGGGATGAGGAGGGGCCAAGGGGGTGGCTGCGGCCGCTGGTGGTAGGGGGGGTGCCAGAGGGGTTTTCGGATCACAAGGGGGAGGAGGCGCAGGCACTGGAGGAGCTGGGCGCGCATGCTGCTTGGATCACCTTCATCTCTGACTGTTCCGAGGTGGTGCGGTGGTGCTTGGCATGTGGTTGTGCTTGGCATGTGGTTGTGCTTGGCATGTGGTTGTGCTTGGCATGTGGTTGTGCTTGGCATGTGGTTGTGCTTGGCATGTGGTTGTGCTTGGCATGTGGTTGTGCTTGGCATGTGGTTGTGCTTGGCATGTGGTTGTGCTTGGCATGTGGATGTGCTTGGCATGTGGTTGTGCTTGGCATGTGGTTGTGCTTGGCATGTGGTTGTGCTTGGCATGTGGTTGTGCTTGGCATGTGGTTGTGCTTGGCATGTGGTTGTGCTTGGCATGTGGTTGTGCTTGGCATGTGGTTGTGCTTGGCATGTGGTTGTGCTTGGCATGTGGTTGTGCTTGGCATGTGGCTGTGCTTGGCATGTGGTTGTGCTTGGCATGTGGTTGTGCTTGGCATGTGGTTGTGCTTGGCATGTGGTTGTGCTTGGCATGTGGTTGTGCTTGGCATGTGGTTGTGCTTGGCATGTGGTTGTGCTTGGCATGTGGTTGTGCTTGGCATGTGGTTGTGCTTGGCATGTGGTTGTGCTTGGCATGTGGCTGTGCTTGGCATGTGGTTGTGCTTGGCATGTGGTTGTGCTTGGCATGTGGTTGTGCTTGGCATGTGGTTGTGCTTGGCATGTGGTTGTGCTTGGCATGTGGTTGTGCTTGGCATGTGGTTGTGCTTGGCATGTGGTTGTGCTTGGCATGTGGTTGTGCTTGGCATGTGGTTGTGCTTGGCATGTGGTTGTGCTTGGCATGTGGTTGTGCTTGGCATGTGGTTGTGCTTGGCATGTGGTTGTGCTCAGATGCACAGCTGTGGCAGCGAAATCCAGGCAGCAGCCATTGCGCGGTTGCTCCTCTCTCAACTCTAATACTCTGATCTGACCCCCCTGTTCTCATTCCTCTCCATCTATCCTTCTCTGTCACCGTTCCTATTTCATTTGTGCTGCTGGCAGATGTACGGGCGGGGCAGTAAGAGTCAGGCGGCAGCCATCAAGAGGCTGTTGCCCTCCAACCCTCATCCACTCCATCTATCCTTATCCCTCTCCTTCCTGTGTGTGTGTGTGTGTGTGTGTGTGTGTGTGTGTGTGTGTGTGTGTGTGTGTGTGTGTGTGTGTGTGTGTGTGTGTGTGTGTGTGTGTGTTGGCAGATGTACGGGCGGGGCAGTGAGAGCCAGGGAGCGGCCATCGAGAGGCTGCTGCTCGCCTCTCTCTCAGACATCACACGTCTCTCCCGCCACCCTGCCGCCCGCGCACCCCTCTTTGATCTCTTCCGCCTCGCGCTCTCCTTCGCTCGCACCCGCCTCCTCGTCGCCACCAACCCCGCTCGCACCGCTGCAGCAGCAGGAGCAGCAGGGGTGGCAGGGGCAGGGGCAGTGGCAACGTCATTGGCAGCAGCAGCAGCAGTGGCGGATGTGAGCCGGTCAGATGCTGCCACGTCGCCGCATGTGTTCTCGGCACGGTTGCTACGGGACCGAGCGCACAGGTGCGCATCAGGCAGACCCCATTGTCCAACAGTTGAGCAACAACTTGTGTGCTTATGTATAACGCAATGCGAGAGGGAATGTGGGACTCAGCTCGAGGTCAACTTCTACCCACCTCTCCACATTCACTCTCATGCCCCTGTTTCACCTTCCCCCTCCTCCAACAGGGCGGTGCTGAAGTGGTTCAGCGTGGAACGGGGGTACTACGTCGGCTGATACGATTGATTGACTTTTGAGTCGACTCAAAAGTCAGCGTGGAACGGGGGTACTACGTCGGCTGATACGATTGATTGCAGGAACAAGTGTCGTATCAATCCCCACTCTCTTCCCGCACCTTTCATAACCCCACAACCCCTCTATCAGGGCGGTGCTGAAGTGGTTCAGTGTGGACGCGGGCTACTTTGACGGCTGGCCCAGTGCGCTCAGGAGGCAGGCAGCCCTCGAGGAGATGGCAGTCATGGATGCATTCAGCAAGGCGCTGGCCGATGATGACACCATGGAGGATGCATTCTGGCCGCCCCCTGCTGGTGCCACTGCTACTGCTGCCCTCTCCCCTGCGGTAAGCTGCTGCTCTCTCGCCCGCGTATGCTGTTGCTCTCTCTCTCTCGCCTGCAGCAAGGCGCTGGCCGATGATGACACCATGGAAGACGCCTTCTGGCCGCCGCCTGCTGCTGCCGGCACTGCCTCTGCTGTCCTTTTGACTGCAGTTAGCTCTGATGCTTTTGCTACTGGCAGCGCTCGACGAGATGGCAGCCTAAGAGCTCCAGTCCAGAGCACCAGTCCAGAGCACCAGTCCAGAGCACCAGTCCAGAGCTCCAGTCCAGAGCACCAGTCCAGAGCACCAGTCCAGAGCACCAGTCCAGAGCACCAGTCCAGAGCACCAGTCCAGAGCACCAGTCCAGAGCTCCAGTCCAGAGCACCCGTCCAGAGCACCAGTCCAGAGCTCCAGTCCAGAGCACCAGTCCAGAGCTCCAGTCCAGAGCACCAGTCCAGAGCACCAGTCCAGAGCACCAGCCCATGACACCCCCCCACCCCCCCTCCCCCCCCCCCCCCTTCATGCACCCGCGTTTCCCTCCCCCCAGCAGTCCCACCAGCAGCGCCGCCATCCAGTGTGGGGGGCATTCTTCTCCTCACTCACTCTCATGTACCCTTTGTTCCCTCTCCCGCCCTCCCACCTGCTGCCAGTCCCACCAGCAGCGCCGCCATCCAGTGTGGGGGGCATTCTTCTCACCGCACCGCTCGCAGGAGAGGAGAGGCAGCAGCGCCGCCATCCAGTGTGGGGGGCATTCTTCTCACCGCACCGCTCGCAGGAGAGGAGAGGCAGCAGCGCCGCCATCCAGTGTGGGGGGCATTCTTCTCACCGCACCGCTCGCAGGAGAGGCAGCAGCGCCGCCGCCTGGGGGGGGCATTTTTCTCCTCACTCACTCTCATGTACCCTTTGTTCCCTCTCCCGCCCTCCCACCTGCTGCCAGTCCCACCAGCAGCGCCACCCTGTGTGGGGGGCATTCTTCTCGCAGCACCGCTCGCAGGAGAGGCAGCAGCGGCGCCGCCTGCTGGCCCTGCTCACCGCCCACGAGGCCGAGTGCTCCGCTACGTGGGCCTTCCCCCTCAGGTCAGTGCTTCCCTCTCAACCCTCCAAGGCCTCTCCCTTGAGGTCAGTGCGAAATCCCAGACAGTTGATTCTTGAGATGACTCAAGAGTCTCACGGGTGAGTTACCGTTTCTTTAGCCTGATCCTATCCTCTCATTTGCTGTCACCTTTGCGCATGCAGCGATGCGCGGCTTAATCTTGCACCCTTCCCACCTTCACTTCCCTCCCCTCCTCTGCCTTTCGCTTTCCCCTCCTTACACCAGTTTTGCACCAGATGCGTCACGCACGGCAGCAGCAGCGGCAGCCACGGATATCCAGCGCAGCAGGGCGCGAGTCACCGCGTCGCTCTCGCCCAATGACGTGCCGCCACTTGTGCGCGCCGCATGGGCTGTCGACCCGCGAGTGGCCGTGTGCTTAGTGCAGCGCTTCCCTTCTGTCAAGGGCATTCAGGACGACGTGGGGACACTCATCCGGGTGAGTGGAGGCTTGAGCGTGCAGGCTGGTTCTTCAAAGGCAGCATTTCTGGACTGGTGCAGTGCAGAGAGCTCACTTCCCATCTGTGAATGTGAAGCAGCAGTGCACCAGGGTTCGCCTCGCCCCTGCTGCGTCTTCAGCAGCCATTGTATCGACGAAACTTACCCATGCCCTTCCCTGTTGCTCCCCTCCCCTCCCCTCTCCTCCCCTCCCCTCCCCTCCCCTCACACACAACCACCAGTCCATGCCACTGCTGGTTCGTTCTCTCCCCGAGGCCCTCCGGTGGGTGGTGACGCCAGCAGCAGTGGTGCAGCAGGACTCGCCCCTCCTCCGTCTACCTCTCCCCTACTGGGCGCCATGCTCCGTGGCAGCCGTGCTCAACCTGCTGCTGCCCGCCTTCAAGGGCCATCCACGTGTCATGGCGTATGCATTCAGGGTGCTGGAGGCGTATCCCCCGCCCACTGTCACATTCTTCATGCCGCAGCTCGTGCAGGCACTTAGATACGACCACGATGTGAGTGTGGCTGGTCAGAGAGATCACCATCTGAGTGGTCGGTCAGAGAGATCATGTTCTGAGGCTTAGATATGGTTCTGATGTGCCTCTGATAGATAGACCTGACAAGCTGTCTGGTTTGTGGTTTCTTCTCCTGTCTGCCTGCGCCATCCTCTGTCTCCCACTTTCCCTTCTCAGCGCTGCACTTCGCAAATTCATTTGCTGCTTTCAACAAGTCAGAGTCTGGTTCGCCTCTTTCGTTCCTGCCTTCTCCTTCCCCGCCCCGCAACCCCTCCCCATTCCATCCTTACATTGCCCCCCTTTCCTAACCGGTGTTGCAATGTCATGTCACTTTTACGATCCTCACATGCCTCTCCCTCCCTTCCCACTCGCCCTTACCCACCCATGGCAGGGGCTGGTGGAGTCATACCTGCTGCGAGCTGCCCTGCGCAACATCATCTTCGCCTCTTCTGTTCCTGCCCTCTCTTTTCTACCTGTCCTCTCTTGCCAATCCCCGCGTGCCTCTCCCTCCCTTCCCACTCGCCCTTACCCACCCATGGCAGGGGCTGGTGGAGTCATACCTGCTGCGAGCTGCCCTGCGCAACATCATCTTCGCGCACATTCTCATCTGGCAACTGCAGGTGCGCTGCTTGCCTTGGGATGTAGTGTCTAGTTGACCGCGCTCCATTGCCTGATCAGAAAAAGAACTGAAAGTAGCTGAGACAATCAGCCATCAATCACTCTGAGCACTTGATTGAAACAATTGATTGGAATTGGCGCACAGATCATCCAACTGAACCTCCCTTTATTCCACTCTCCCTGCCATCCCTTCCTACTCTTCCGCTCACCACATCCCCACTCTGCTTGTCCCATTCCAGGGAAACTAGATAGATCCTGAGGGGCATAACCCCTTCTCTTCTCCACCCATCACAAGCCTTTGTATTCCCCATCATCCTCCTAACCCCCATTCCTCCCCCAGGGCGAGGAGGCAGATCCCGAGGGGCAGCAACCACAGCTTCTCCTTCTATGGCTTCAAAAATCCTCAAAACTCCCCACCCCCTGCAAACCCCATTCCTCCCCCAGGGCGAGGAGGCAGATCCCGAGGGGCAGCAACCACAGATCCTCCTTCTATGGCTTTAAAAATCCTCAAAACTCCCCACTCCCCGCAACCCCCATTCCTCCCCCAGGGCGAGGAGGCAGATCCCGAGGGGCAGCAACCACCAGCTCTCGAGTCCTCCAACGGTGCAGCAGCAGAGGGAGGTGCATCTGGAGAAGGCGCAACTGCTGCAGCAGCGACAAACATCCTGTGGACGATAGTCCCGCGGGTGCGGCAGCGCATCATCGACAGCTTCAATGCCGAGCAGCGGGCTGCTTTCGACCGCGAGTTCTCCTTCTTCGATGCCGTCACCTCCATCTCCGGCACGCTCCGACCCGTGCCCAAGGAGAAACGCCGCGCCGCCATCCAGCCGTACGTCCTTGTCTGTCTTGTGGTCGAAACTCACAGGCATCCCCGATTATAATTATACTGTCCCCATCGCTCGACCACATTTTCCCACTTACCCTCTCACGAGCAACGCATCGCCCTTTCACCCCCAACACCCTTCCTTCCCCCCCCTCCCCCCACCTCCTTCTTTTTCGTCCCCCCACCAGCGAGCTGGAGAAAATAAAGCTGCCGGGAGACGATTTGTATCCGCCCACAGACCCCAACATGCTCTGAACTCCATCACACAACACCCTTTCACACCCAAACACCCTCCAACACCCTCCATTCACTCACTTGCGCACAGGGAGCTGGAGAAAATAAAGCTGCCGGGAGACGACGTGTATCTGCCCACGGACCCCAACATGCTCGTGCGCAGCATTGTGCTGGACAGCGGCATTCCCCTGCAGTCCGCCAAAAAGGTACGGCTTCACCAAGTTAGTCAAACCTCAACTCTTTTGAGGTTTGAGACTTGTCTCTTTTTTTTTTTTTTACCCAGCTGCATTCCTCTGCCTCTTCTTCTTCCAGCAGCGTAATGAAGCCCCTCTCTCTGGTGTGCAAAGGTGTAACCGCATAGCATTACAACCAGTATGGAAAATATAGTACATACCTCGTCTTCTTCCACCTTCCTCCCCTCCTCCCCTCCTCCCGTCCTCCTGTCGTCTCCTTCTCCAACATTTCTTCTTTCACACCCTCTCCACCCTCCCAGGTGCCCATCCTGATATCATTCATGGTGGTGCGCAAGGACGAGGACGGGGTGGTGGACGAGCACAAGCCCGAGCACGAGACTGACACGTGCTGCAACCTCCCATACGCCCCACCACACCCTCTCCCCCCCTCTCCCCTCCCCCCAGGTGCCCATCCTGATATCATTCATGGTGGTGCGCAAGGATGAGGACGGGGTGGTGGACGAGCACAAGCCCGTGAAGCAGGGATGCATCTTCAAGGTGGGTGGGTGCTGTGCTCAGGCAGCCGTGCTGCAATCTCTTTTCATAACACCTTCTCACTGTGATCATATCTCGTTCTCTGATCCTGTTGTGCCCTGCCAGGTGACTTAAAAGTCACCTCATAACACCTTTTCACCGTGATCATATTTCGTTCCCTGATCCTGTTGTGCGCCCAGCCAATTCACTCACTGCTCTGCCAACGTGACCTACTCTTATACTTACATCTACATTCTGTGTTGTGTGGGAAATACGCCAGAATTCGTCACACGCTGACCTTTTCCTGGCGCTATGCCCTCTGTCTCCCCCTCATGATGCTGTGCTGCCCTCGCAGGTGGGAGATGACTGCAGACAGGACGTGCTGGCTCTACAGGTCAGTCCCACTCCACCCTTGCCACCTCACAGTCAGACCCACGTGGGAACTGCAGGTCGAAACTGCAGGTGGGAACTGCAGGTCGAAACTGCAGGTGGGAACTGCAGGTGGGAACTGCAGGTGGGAACTGCAGGTCGGAACTGCAGGGTCCAGGTGGTCCCTTACACGTTGTGAGACGTCTCAGTCAACTCCTGCACTGCAGTCAGTGAGCTCCAGTCAGTGAGCTCCAGTCAGGGAGCTTCAGTCAGGGTTAGGGACTGCCACTGCCACTGCCTCAGGTGATCGCCCTCCTGAGAGAATCAACAAAGCAGTGGGCCTGGACCTGTACCTGTTCCCTTATGGCGTGCTCCCCTCGGGGTATGAGCGCGGCATCATCCAGGTGGTGCCCAACACGTTGTGAGAAGCGTCTTGGTCGTCTCATTGCTTGTACTCCTTCCCCTGCCTCAGGTGATCGCCCTGCTGCGAGACATCAACAAAGCAGTGGGCCTGGATCTGTACCTCTTCCCGTACGGCGTGCTCCCCACGGGGTACGAGCGTGGCATCATTCAAGTGGTGCCCAACACGCGCAGTCGCAACCAGATGGGAGACGTCACAGACGGCGGGCTCTTTGACATCTTCCAGAACGAGTTTGGCGCCATCGGGTCCGCCGGGTTCGAGCGCGCGCGGCATAACTTTATTGTCAGCAGTGCGGCGTATGCGGTGGCGAGTTTGCTGCTGCAGCCCAAGGACCGGCACAATGGGAACCTGCTTGTGGATAAGTAAGATCATATTTAGTAAGCATCTATGTAGGCCCTGTAGCGACGTTTTCTGTAGCGGCCTACGTTGTACTGAGTATCTCTCACCATGGACCTTGTTGTCTCTCACGCTCGACACATGCCCTCATATAAATCCTCTCCCATATCCCTCTCCCGGAACTTCATGCAGCGATGGCCGTCTAGTGCACATAGACTTTGGGTTCATCCTGGAGACGTCGCCTGCTGGCAACCTGCGATTCGAGAGTGCGCAGTTCAAGCTGAGCCACGAGATGACGCAGATCCTCGACCCTTCAGGCGACCTCAAGAGCGAGCCCTGGCACCGCTTCGTTGGGTGAGACATGAGACAGGCTGCATGCTGTTCTTTGTCTGCTTGACATGGGCTTGCACAATTTTCCATGTCTGATGACTTATGGGTTGACTCAAGAGTGACCTCAAGGGCGAGCCCTGGCACGGCTTCGTGGGGTGAGCTGAGACGAGCTCATGTGCTGCTCTCATTCCCCCGTCTCCATATTCTCCCTGCTATTGTTTCTTGTTGACTTTTGTTTGCGTGCTTCTTCGTTTCCACTTGGCATGGGCTCACATGGTTTCCCTTTTCTGATTGGCATGCGATTAAATGCTGTGTCTTTCCTACGTGACGTCCTTCATTCTCAACTCATCCCTTTTCTCCATCGACCCAATGCAGTCTGTGTGTGAAGGGCTATCTGGCGGCACGGCGGCATCAGGACGCCATATTGAACACGGTGCAGCTGATGCTGGATAGTGGCCTGCCCTGCTTCTCACGCGGCGATGCTGTTGGCAACTTGAGGAAACGGTTTCACCCAGAGATGGGCGAGAGGGAGGCGGCCAGCTTCATGATTGCCACTTGCGTGGATGCGTACAACAAATGGACGACCGCTGGATATGATTTGATCCAGTACATGCAGCAAGGCATTCAGAAGTAATGCCTGGAAGGCTGAAGTGTTCCATTACGTATTATATTGTATGTTGTGCTACTAATGGGTTGTTCTTTTCCAGCTTGGTCAAACCTTCTTTTGTGTATTTGATTATTAATTTGTACTGCTGTTTCAGTTTGTAGATTTATATATGCATTGCACGATCAAGTACCTTTGAGCGTATACGATTGACAATTGTTATCTTCGGAGCCCAACGGAGGCGCTTCTAAACAGACTTATCTGAAGGTCTTCCTTCTCTCAATGCTGGCCGAATCTCCACAAGCACAGCACATGTACATGCTTTGAAATCTAGTCTCATGAAAGCATTTCGTGCCATCTCCCACGCCATGGCTTCTCGCAGCGTCTCCTCGTCCCTCCAAGGGATGCGGGTTCTGACTGCGAGCTCCTCCGGTTCAACCTATGCAGTCGCAAGCCTGTCGCCAGCCGTACGTGCACGTGTGAATGCTGTCGCAAGCGTTCGCACGTTCGCGCTTTCGGAGCATTCGCAGAGCCCTCTGGCAGGCATTCGCTCTTCGCTCCGTCGCGCGGGTGGTGCGAGCGACGAAACATTGCGTTCAGGCAAAGAAATTAAACGATGCGCTGTGAATAATTCAAGCAGCAAACGATCCGTCGATGTCAAAGCACAGGCTGGCGGAGGAAATACAGGCTCCGGGGGAAGTACAGGCGGAGGGAGAGGAGGCGGGGGCGGAGGGGGGAGCGGCGGAGGGGGTGGGGACGCGAGCAACGGCGGAGTTCCTCCTTCAGGACTTCAATTGCTGGCCCTAAGGTAAGCGACGATTTCAAGATGCGGTTGGTTAGCAAGCTTCGTGCACGTAGCCGTGACAGTTCTTTATGTGCTGTCTTCGCCTACCTTTCTCCACCCCGCGCCCCTCCCCACCCCTCCTTCCCTCCCTTCCCACTTTTCCCCCTTCTCTTCTCTCTGGCGTCAGCTACATGGCATCGCTAGAGTCACGACCGTTTGTGACAAAGGGGATCACAGCCGGCTTGCTGAACGCACTTGCAGACCTTTTCTGTCAGGTATGTTCAAAGGATGCGCTCTTGGTTGATTGGTGCACTTTCTTTTGATGGATAAGTACACACGTGCTCTTTTTGCAGATTGACTGTAAAAAGAGTTTTCCAATGTCGAAGCTACTCTTACCAGTACTCTTTTCCCTGGTTTTTGCGAGCTCACCTCCCTGCTTCTAGGTTGTTGTGGAAAAGGACTCATCCATTGATGTTCGACGGCTGGGAGGCTTCGCTGCCATTGGACTATTCATTGTCGGCCCCGCTTTGCATATCTGGTGAGGCTCGCTTGTTTTGAATTTGCCTGCTCTGAGTAGTACATTGCAGCCTTTTGTTTACTTGTCCACGGAAGAAGAGTTGATCTGTGATGTGCTTTGTGTGTGTTAACAGGTATGGCCTGCTTGGAAAGTTTATTGAAATTGAGGGTTTCAAAGGAGTTCTTGCTCGATTGCTCATTGACCAAGTAAGGGTTTTCCTTCTTGTAGCCTGTGCTTGTCAGTTGGATGATTGGCTGTGTTGCTTTCTTCTTTGCAATGCAGATGTTTGATGGTTCTTTTCTGTAAGTAATTGGTTAATGGCATCATTTCTCTCTGTGCACATCAGGTGATATTTTCCCCGTTATCAATTGCCACATTTGTGGGGCTGGTATTGCTGCTGGAGGGCAAGCCAGAGCGTATTGTGCCTAAACTAGAGAAGGTGAGATGTCTACAGGGGACAGTTGTGAAGGCTTGGTTGCTGTAATGATGGGCATCAATTCACTTGACATTAAATGCTTCTGAGAATGAATGTGGCTTTTGCAGCGTTTGATAGCTCGGCTCTTGCTCCATGCAGGATTTTGTGCCAACTTGCATCAACATGTGGAAACTCTGGGTGCCGTTCCAGCTATTCAACTTCGCCCTTGTGCCTCCACAATTACAGGTATGTACTAGATCCAGGGCTTTTTATTTGCACTCTTTGTGGTTCTTCATCTTACCGCATGTGACTATTCTTTTCTTGTTGGGCAGGTTGGTGCTGTGAATCTAGTGGGCCTAGTCTGGACCGTCTACATGTCCTTCGCAAGCCACAATGACATTAGTGATGCTAAATCCCATGAGAAAAAGGAAGCTGCATCTGCATAGGGTGTAGAATTTTGTGGCCTGAGTTGCCACTGTGAGTTGCTTTTTATGGCGTATAGAAGTGTTGTAAACCCCAGCGAGTTGCTTTTGGGTCTCAATGTCTCTTGATTGGTTGCCGCTGTGCAAATTTGTTCATCTGGTGAAGCTGAAACCAGAGGGCGCGCGATTAGAGGGACAGTCCACCCCGACGCCTTACCCGATCGCGAATCCAACGGCCAAGATATTCGCAGCCAGTCGTCGAGTATCTCAGCGGTTCTGTCCCCCAATCTTACGGCCAAGCGTTCTCGCCTCTGCGAACAATCCCCCAGCCCAGCCCTACCAACTACACCCTGTTTCGCGCTAGCAGAGCATCTGGTTGCAGAACATACACTGGTTGTAGAACGTCACCACGTTTGAAATGGTCTTATCACCGACGGTACAAGCACATTCACAAGAAAGCGGTTAGCTAGGATGCTGCATGGTAAAGAACATTAACCAAGCGTTTCAAAGCGGTTGAAAAGGGTATACAGCGATAAAGAAAAATTTTGCCCCCAGTACCACTCCGTCAGCTGGTGCGGCTTTGCCCGCAGGTTTCAGCCATACGGTTTATGGCACCTGACCGCACTGTAGCAGCGAATCGCGCAAGGTGAGAGGGTCGAGAAACAGGGTGTATCTTGTTCACACACGGAACATCCCTCTGCTCCGCCCCTCGCCATTGTAGCGCAGGAGGACTTAGACAATCACCAAACTCCGCCCACCAATTTTCCTTCCCTTCCACCTTACCCTTTCCACCTCACCCCACCCTACCCCATCCCACTCTACTCTTTCCCACCTCCCTGTTTCTTTTAGCAGGCGAAACACCTTCCACTCCACCTCTTGACGCGCTTTCCCCCTCACGGCTTTGTCCAGCTGAAGTTACCTCGGAACTAATCCCAGCGGCCATTGTTAGCGTTGATTTCTGTGACAGGTTAGTTCACGGCATTGCGTTGACCTTAGCTCTGCCTAGCACCGCATTGTGCCAACGTTGAAATTTACGTTGTTTGCCAATTTCGGGTCTCTGCTCTAACAACGAATGTAACGGTTTTGGGCATTTTCCTGTCAGCCATTGTCAAGGCAGAGTCACCGTCGAGCTGCACCTGCACAGGACTTGTCGAATACAAATAACTACTACTACTAAAAGCTTAAACCAGAAAACCGTAGTAGTTACAGACTCTTTAACTCCGCGCGGCAATGGCGGGGGGTGGTCTGCGTGTGGACGTATCAAGAGACGAAGGCGACGAGCATGCGGAGGGAACGGCGCAGCCCAAGGCGAGATTCTCCGGCGGGTCGCCGTCGGGCGAGTCGTCGCTGGTGCAGCAGCGCTTCCCGTCGTCCAAGATGAAGGTCGACGAGCTCTTCATTCAATGGCTCTCGCTGCCCGAATCGCAGAAGCTGGTGGGTTCGCCTCGCGAAAGTTGGCTCCGTTAGGGTTGGCTTTTGCAAGGGGTGGCCTCTCAAGAGTTGGCTCCGTTAAAGTTGATTCCGCTAGGGTTAGCTTCGCAAAAAGTTGACCTCGCGGGGGTTCTCTATGGCTAGGGTTAGCTGTGTCGGAATGACCGCAAGCTGCCTCTGTTGCAAGGTTAGGGTTTGCTTACGCATGCAAGGCAAGTGCTTGCTCGGAAATTGCTGGGACGACGATCTGTTAGAATGGGAAGGGAGATGTGAGTATCCGACATACGCATTCGTGGCTGAAGATATTTCCACCAGTGGGACTGGGGAAAAATACTATGGATGAAGTACCAATGGACCTCCGTTCCCGTTCGTGCATTTCTAAATTCGTCCCTACGCGCTCTTCACTTATTTCTCATTGACGACTAGTTTTCGCTTGAGATCCCAGCGTTCGAAAGCCAATGCTGACTGCTTCCCTCTCAAACCCCGCCATCTCACCTGCCACGTGTCATGGTCCAGGTGATGTCGTTATTGGAAGACGCCAAAGCAGGCCGTCCGCTAATAGCCCCCGGGGGGCCCAACTCTCACAGCGCAAGCGGAAGCCTCTCCCCGCTCTCCCCCACAAGCGCCTCCTCGCTCTTCGGCGCAACCCCCCCGCTCTCCCCGCGGAGCGACAAGCCGATGTCGCCCAAGTCGCCGCTGCGTCGCCAGGCGTCGGGACTGAGCCACGCGGGATCGCCCGTGAAGCCGCACGCGAACCGAAGCTTCGAGGCGATTCCGCAGTTCTACTTTCCGAACGGCCCGCCGGCGACGGAGGACGTGGCGAAGCAGTGCATGGTGAAGATCCACCAGTTCTTCCACGAACACCCCGAGGGGCTCAACGCCGAAGGTGAGTGCGCGGGAGGGTGCGCGGGAGGATGCGCGGGAGGTTAGACAAAAAGTAGAACGTCTATTCTCGAGAGACGGAGGACGTGGCGAAGCAGTGCATGGTGAGGATCCACCAGTTCTTCCACGAACACCCCGAGGGACTCAACGTCGAAGGTGCGTACGGGGGGGGGAGGCTGTGGGGGAGGGTATGGGGGAAGGTAGGCGGGAGGTTGGGCGGGCGGGTGCGTGGGAGGGTGTGCGGGAGGTTATGCGGAGAACACGCCCAGGGATTATATGCGGAATGCATCTGAGCAGATGCGGACGCGCGATTTGTATGAGCCTTAGGTAGTCACATAACATCATCCCACACCCCCGTACCTCGTTCCTTTCACCTTCCTTCACTCTCACCCTCTCTCTCCTTCCCTCGTCTTGCAGCGTTCATGGCGGTGACACAGGAGGTGTGCAACGTGCCGTCCTACCCAAACACCCCAGTGGCGTCAGGCCCCAACCCGCTCTCTCTCCATCTCCCCTCCCACTCTCCGCACGTCTCTCCCCCCCCGCCGCGCAGCATTCATGGCGGTGACACAGGAGGTGTGCAACCTGCCGTCCTACTTCAACTCGGTCATCTTCCAACGCATCGACTCCGAATCCACCGGCCTCATCACCAAGTGAGTTCTCATCTCGCTTAATTCCCTTCTCTTCCCTCTTATCCCCTCTCTCTCTCTCTCTCTCTCTCTCTCTCTCTCTCTCTCTCTCTCTCTCTCTCTCTCTCTCTCTCTCTCTCTCTCTCTCCTATTCACGGTCTCCTACTCATCTTTTCCCATCCGTATCCATCGACCGCCTCTTCTCCCCTGCCCGCGTCCTCCTGTTCCTTCCTCTCCCGCTCCTCAGAGACGCGTTCATGCGGTTCTGGGTGGACCGGCGGCTGCTTGCAGCAGACATGGCGACGCAGATCTTCCACGTGCTCAAGCAGGACCACCAGAACTACCTCGTGCAGGTACTATCTGAGGCAGTGGTGCAGGTACCTGAGGCAGTGGTGCAGGTACTATCTGAGGCAGTGGTGCAGGTACCATCTGCAGCAGTGGTGCAGGTACTACCTGAGGCAGTGGTGCAGGTACTATCTGCAGCAGTGGTGCAGGTACTATCTGCATCAGTGGTGCAGGTACTAAACGCATCAGGACCACTAGAACTACCTCGTGCAGGTACTATCTGCAGCAGGAACCAATTTCAGGTGCCATGTGGTGCTGGGTGTCCCATTTATCCACGTGTCATTGTCCCCTCCTCTCTCTGTCTATCCTCCCTCACTCTCTCCTCCCCAACCCTGCCCACTCTCTCACTTGCCCCCGCCCCCGCCCTTTTCTCTCCTGCACACCGTGTTCCCTTCACCAACCCACCAATCTCTCCTCCCCCTCGCCTCTCCCCCCTTTGCTCCCCCCTTCCTTCCCCCCCCTGCGCGCGCTCCACAGGACGACTTCAAGCCAATCATGCGCGAGCTGCTGAACCGCCACCCAGGTCTCGAGTTTTTGCACGACACGCCTGAGTTCCAAGAACGATATGGTACGTGTGCATGTCACAGGTGGGGTTTGAGACGTCTCAAAGCAACAATACGGTACACATGCAAGCAGCAAGTGCGGTGTGGGTAAGCAACTGCTGTGCTAGGTTAGAATATTGAGCCACGTCCTAGCTTGTCTCAGTGTCCTTCTCTCGATCCCTTTGTATCTCTATATATCCCTAATTACCTTCCTCTCCATGTCGCCTGCCAGTCATTCCCCTCTCGTCTCTCTCCTTTCCGCTCCCCCCTCTCCATTCCACCCCCAATTTCCCGCTCACATGGTGCAGCGGAGACGGTGATATACCGCATATTCTACCACATCAGCCGGTCGGGCAACGGGCGCATCTCACTGAGAGAGCTCAAAAAGAGCAACCTCATGCAGGCGCTGCAGCAGGTGGAGGAAGAAGAGGACATCAATAAAGTGCTCAAGTGAGTCGGTAGAATATGCTTCTTGAGACCGCTGCAGAAGCCCCTAGACAAGTGCTACAGCAAGTGAAGCAGACTGCTGTCCACATGGTGTGCTTCACGTTCTGGTTCTCAGGGGCCTCCACCATCCCCCTCCCCCTGCAGGTACTTCTCGTACGAGCATTTCTACGTGGTGTACTGCAAGTTCTGGGAGCTGGATTCGGACGTACATTGCAAGATCCACATACCAACCACCCCCACCATCCCCGCACCACACCCCACCCATCATTAAGCATCTCAAGTCCACTCCCTCTCACAACAACCCCTCCCCCTGCAGGTACTTCTCGTACGAGCATTTCTACGTGGTGTACTGCAAGTTCTGGGAGCTGGATTCGGATCACGACTTCCTCATAGACAAGGACGACCTGCTGCGCTACGGCAACCACGCCCTCACCTACCGCATCGTCGAGCGCATCTTCGCCCAGGTGAGATGAGGCAATTCTCAAAGCGCCTCAGAAAGAGCTGACTTTTGAGTCGACTCAAAAGTCAGCCCAGGTGAGATGAGGCAATTCTCAAAGCGCCTCAGGAAGCAGCTACCACTATGTTGAGCGCATTTTCGCTCGTGACTGAAAGTCGTTCCCCAGGTGGGTGGTGCGGGATCGTATCTCAAGTGGGCCTTTCTTTGGGTTATCCTTCTGTTTCTCACCCCTATGCGTTTCGCTACTCCTCTTCCCCACTTCTCTCACTGTAGGTGCCCCGGCCGTTCACGAGTGGAGTGGAGGGCAAGATGGGGTACGAGGACTTTGTGTGGTTCATCCTCTCAGAAGAGGATAAGTCGTCTGAACCCAGCCTCGAGTACTGGTGAGTCTCTTCTCTTGCTGTCTATTGTAGGGAGCTTACTTGAGTAGATGTGCCAGTGCATGTGTGGGCGTGCACATCCGTGCACATTTCCTCCCTCACCCCAATCCCCCAATCCTCCTTTTCTTCCTCCCCGCAACATCCCCTTAGCGTGCACACTTACCAAGTTCTGGTGTGTGGATCTGAACGATTACAAGCGCATCAGAGCCCCAGAAATAGTATTTGAGGCACCTGAATATTTTATCCTTCCCTCCTACACAATCTTGGCGTGCATGCCAGGCTCTGGTGTGGATCTGGGCGACGACGACCCCATCACAGCACCCTACATGCTTTCTTAGGCGCCTCAATCAAATGCTTTCAATTATTTGTCCCCTCTACACATCCTTGGCATGCATACCAGGTTCCGGTGTGTGGATTTGGATGGGGACGAGCGCATCACAGCACCAGAGATGCAGTATTTCTACGAGGAGCAGCTGCACCGCATGGAGTGCATGGCGCAGGAGCCCGTGCTCTTTGAAGACGTTGTGTGCCAAATGGCCGACATGATTAAACCCGCGGTGAGCATGGGGGGGAGAGAGATGCTGGCGCAGTAGTTGCAGCACCGCGGAATTCTTTGAGGTCGTCTGCTAAAGGGTGGTATGATCAAACCTGCGGTGAGCATGGGGTGAGGGATGCTGGCCCAGGAACGGAGGGGTTGCGCTGGGCTAGACTGCTTGGACAGATGGGTATTTGATAGCACATTTTCCTGGGTTGGGCACTCCAATGAAATGCCTCCATGGTGTTTCGAGCAAAGACCAGTTGTTGAATTTCATGTACCATGTCAATGTATCTTACGCATTTCTTCCTGTGTGCTGCGCTTCCCTGACACTCTCCTGTCACCTTGAGCAGAAGGATGGAGTGATGACGTTGCGTGACCTGAAAGGGTGTAGATTGTCGGGCAACTTTTTTAACATACTATTCAACCTTAACAAATTCGTGGCGTTCGAAACACGCGATCCTTTCCTCATTCGACAGGTGAGCCTTTCCTTTTTCAACAGACAAAATAGATTGACGGATTGGTCTCTGCCTATGAAGAATGCCACAGCTACTTGTGCAATCTGCAGCAAGCTAATACGCACTTCCTCCTTGCTACAGGAAAGAGAAGACCCCACGTTAACAGAGTGGGACCGCTTTGCTCGAGCGGAATACATCCGACTGTCTATGGAGGATGAAGGGGATGATGCTTCCAATGGCAGTGCAGAGGTTTGGGATGAGTCCCTTGAGGCTCCCTTTTGAGCAGCATAGTGTAGCACCCACGGTGTGATATCAAATCGATTGATTGCATAACTTGTGCTGTTGCAATAACGAAAGGGCGTGCCTGCTCCCTAATTACTGAAACCCTGGCTATCTCCCTCCACATAGCATGTGTGCAAGCTACTCGCTATACTAAACCATTGAGTCCTAGTGTCATGTAAATGTGCTGTTCTGCAATAATTAATATTTCCATTGAAGGTCTACCTGAGGCTGAGGTGCACAAATAAGAACACATTTCAATTTTGGTACCGATGTCAACATGTGAACAGAACAGCGTGACTGCAGGTAACCAACCAACTATGACTTGGATGAGACATTTATGCTGGTATGGCTGCACCACTGTCGGCAACAGCTGAAGGCTGGACATCCGTTGATGCCTGCTGTGCCTCAGAGCCATTACTCTCGCCACTTTCACTTGTTGCTCCTGATGGAACTGCATCTGCGGACTTGTCTGTGGAATCAACTGCATCAGCGGTCGTAGGTTCCTCCACGCTCACACTCTCTTGCTCATGCTGCTGCTGTTCCTGGGCCTGTTCATACCACTTCTTCCTTTCCGCCTGCAATAACCGGCATAGACCCTCCAGCTTCTGCTTCTGAGCCTGCAGCGTCTCAAGCTGCTTGCACTGTGCCGCACGCTACCACAGCAAAACACAGAGACAAAGTCAAAGGTAATGGAGAGGAAGAAGCATCTTTGTAAGAGCAGAACCGTTCATCTTTCGTTGGCGAAAGGTCAATGGCAATTACCTCATCAAGAAGCTCAATCAGAGAAACATCCGACTTTTCAGACTTGGCTCGAAGTTCAGAATTGTCCTTCTCCAGCTTCTTGATGCGTTTCGTCATCTGCCATTGGATGGAGTTATCAGTAAGCCCGTCAGACAAAAAATGCTCTATCCAGTAAAGTTAACAGGTGAGGATTAGACTTGCCTTGTCCATTTCCTTCTTCATTGTGCCAAGGACTTCGTTGCTCTTGGACAAAGTACCCTGCATCAAGAAACCTTACCTTAATGAGCCCACACCATCCAGGATTCTGCAGCCAACCACAATACTTTGGGCGAAAGTGACATCCTACCTGGAATTGATCAAACTTATCAATGTATAACGCCAACTGGCCCCTCAGCTCTTTTTCTGACTTGAGAAGATCAATGACCTGTTCGCCTCTTGCCTTGCTCTGTTAGAGAGTGGGGCAGTGTTATGGAACACAGAAGAATGGGGAACTAATTATGCTGACAGTATTATTCATGGCAATCCATCATGAAACAAGCATATTTACTGGTTTGTCAGCTTACCAGAGCCCGTTCTTCGACCATTAACTTCTCTTGCTGCTTGAACTTTGCATCCAACAGCTGATACTCGAGGTCTTTCGTCTTGATCTAGGGACAAGATGGAAATTCAAGAGCAATATCATATTAAAATTTCGGAAAAAACAAAAGAATACGAATAAAAAAGCACCAGAAAAAGCCTTTTACAAAGTGAAATCACTTACAAGGTGAGCCCAGTACTTCTCCTTGACGTCTGCATGCTCTTGGATTTTCTTGAGTTGCTCGGCAAGACTGCACACATCATTGGATAAAGGGTTGACTAACGGAATAACAACCCCGCTTCACATGCCATATGAGATCGGAGGGAACTTGCACTTTAAGCCATTTCAATATTACATATGATTTTCCTTAAGGTGGCTTGATCTTTCAGCTCCCTGCTCTTCCAATCTGAGTTCGATGTCCTGCAAACAGCCAAAGGAAATCATGTGCTTGAATACCATCAACGACAGTGAGGAAGAGCAGCAGCTTAGGTCCTGGAATACCTTGATGGAGTCTAGGAATTTAGATGATAACTCCTCTCGTTTCTGCTGCTGCTCGTTTGCAGCCTTCTTGCTTTCTTCCTGTGCCACCAACGGCATTGAGCAGAAAGAAACAGCATGAGAAAATGATCCAGAAGAGCTAAAACGGATTACGGAAGCTTGCTGGAACGTACCAATATGGTCTTGTTTTGCTTCTGAAGTTCACGGCACAAGGTCTCCAATTTGCCACGAAGCGTGGCAGACTTCCTCATTTCGGCCATAACTGAAATATAAAGTATCTAGCCGGTAAGCACTTCAAACATGGAATGTTTTGAATAAACGGCATAAGACAAGAGGAAGCAGTTGTCGCACCAGAGTCGCGTTCCCTTGTTAGTTGATCAATCTTCTTCAGCAAAGCTGCGCTCTCCTTATCGCCAGCCTTAGCTTCCCGTGCCTGCAATGGGAAAGGTCAGACAATGAGAGCAAGCGAAAACATTGGAAACTAGTCATGTTCGGCTTACCTGCGCCATTATCTTGGAATGCAGAATCTTAATCTTCTCATCCGCTGGTACTTCAGGGTCATCAACGACACGCCGTATTTGTTCCAAAGCCAGCTTCCCTCCCTTTCCTGCAAGAGCGGGATGACGTTTCAGCCTCGAGTCAACAAGGTTTAGCTTAGCCTTGGTGAATGCACAGGAGAGTCTACTATTCAAAGAACTATTACCCTGAGATTTGGTCTTCCCTTCGGCTGAAGTTGACTTAGACGAGGATGCGGAGGTACTCGCCGGCGTGCTTTCCAGTCCAGTTTCAGCTGTGCTCTCAGCAACATATCCCTGCTCTGTAAGACCCTCTTTTTTGTCAACGCTTTGATCGTCGACACGAACGATTCCATCCTCCACTTCCGGGACATGGACCGTCGCTCCTTTCTGCCGATCCTCTGCCTGCGGAGCTTCGAAACTCGTCATACCGGAATCCGACGGGGGTTGAGCCGAGTCAGCCATTCCTCGACCAAGTAAGTATTAGAGTAATAAAATAACGAGTAACGAGTCTAAGTGACGAGATAGACACGGAGATTCAGGAACACAACAGACAGCCAAGGCAGAATTCGCTGACCCACCACCACTAACAACCTCGAGTAGCAGGCAAGATGTTGAAAAACGCAAGCACTGTACTTATTACAGCAGGTTTTCTGATTCTTCAAACCATGTATTCAGATTTTTAGGAATTTAATAAAAAGTTACATTGTACATTGCTTTTGGCCAACATGCAGTAGGAGGCAACTGATTGCAGCTTATACATTTATGCGAAGAGCCCTGTTACATGAAAATCAAGTTTGCATCCAAAGAGCCATATGGACCTGACTCTCTCCTCCATAACAACATATCAGACCCAGCCATGTGTTGGAAACAATAAGTCCTAAGTGCGCTTCTGTCGTATCAAAATCCAAGGTACCAAGCGAAGCAGTCCCAATCGAAGCATCGAGTCAACCTCGGAGGTTAGGGTAACCGCCTGGAGGTTACGAGAAAGTCAAAGGTCGCTGACCTTTGACTCGACAATTACAGCGCGACAGTTAAGGACACACAACTGACTCGTTACAGAGCAGTTGCCCGAGTCGCGCTATATCGAACCGCAACAGCAATACAGTTATCTATCTATTCCCTGTACTCTTAAATAAATCCTTGTATTTGCTTGTTTAATTCAATCAACTTTGCTCTCACACACCAGTGCAAGGTCGGTTCAAATTCTTCACTAAACGCTTCCGCTATTACAACTACTTCACCTAGAGTTATCCCTTGCAAAGATCCTAAGGGGCTATCTCAGCCCAACATGGTATGAGAGCAGACAAGGGAAACTCTACTCTTTTTTCAATATCATTACAAGACATGGCAACAAACAAGGAAAGGAGCTCCCCTAATGGCTCCTCGGGCACTACTCCTACTCCACCGTCAGCCTCTGGCCTGCAGACAGAAGAAGGCACGGCAACAAGACCAAGAGGAACGTCAACCGAGACCCCCATGAACCACCCTTCGGACTTTGACCAGAACATGATGGAGAAATTTTTCTCCTTCATGTCCTTCTACGAACAACACCAGCAGTCGGGACCTGCACAAACACACAACAGCAACAACGGAGCGACACCCATGAGTCTTGATGGGTCGTCATATGCGCGAGGAAACCAGCAGCAGCAACCTACCTTTGCTCCGTACGAGCGCGGGTCAATCAGCTTCGTGCCCCACCCGCAACCTTCACCTGGACAAGAAAGACCACTGGACGCACTTCAAGTTCAGTCGCAGTTTGCACACGTCTTAAAACTGCAAACGTCAAGACCCTTCGACGGCAAAGACTTCTTTACCTGGTCCTTTGAATTCGAGCTGATGATGGAGGGCGCGCAGATACTCGGCTTCTTCGACGGGTCCCTGCAGTATCCAGCCAACGGGACACAATATGAAAAGCAGCAGTATACGTATCAATCAATGATGGCGTATACAATCCTATTGAGGAATGTGACACCAACTCAGCAGC